AAATCCAGTAAGCTCTCAGCCACCCACTCCCCCCAATATCCTGGCTCCCATCGCTTCTTGGGATTAACTTCCCACGGACTTTCCTAAAGAACCAGGAATCCGGGCGGGTTCCCTGATGCCCTCCCCCCTAGTTTTAACCCTATGGAACCTCCTTTCGCCTCCCCAACTCTCTCTCTCTTCACTGTATCCTTCCCTTTCTCCTACAGAGAACCCAGGAATTCTGGCTCGAACCCCTTCGCCCCCAGCGCAGCAGCGCGCCTCCCTCCCTCCCTCCAGCACCCAAGACTTTTCTTTCCTGAAGAAGCGACTTACTTCCAGAGCGGGGTGGAGAGTGCACGTCTGGAAGGAAGCCAGAAGGTAGGTAGGTGGGCACGCACGTTGCAGCAACCGAGGCTGGGAGAAGATGCTCTGGTCTGATCACGGGAAAACGGCGAGGCGAGAGACTCGTGGCTGGGACAGGAGGAGAGAGGGGTGGGGCGAGTCCCCCACCCCACCCACACACAGACAAGCAGGCAGGAGGTTGGGAGAGGGTGGGCCGTGGGCGGAGACAGGGAGGTAGTAGAGGAGGCGGGGGCGGCGAGGAGGAGAAGGCGGGCGAGGTCGAGGGGAGAAGACCCGGGAAGGCGGAGAGTGGACTTTGTGTTATTGCTGTTGCCGGGAGCCAAAAAGTACACAACGATACACACACCCGCAAGGAGGGTCCCCCCCGCTGACTCAGACAGAAACGATTCACGGTTCTCGACCCCGCTACTCATTACTCAAAGCGGATAGCCAGATGCGTGCAAGACGCTGGTGCAGCAGCAGCAATAGCAGCAGGGCCTGCAGGCTCGTTGCGCGCCCGGCGCTGAAAGCAACGCGTTTTGCAGGCACGTTGCGCCTAACCATGGAGGTTTCATTTATCCCGCGCGGTCGAGAGATCCAGCCCTCCCTGCATTTTGCTTTACTCTTTAATCACATGGCAGTGAGTTCCGTAAGCCAACTGGGCACGCGAGATGCAGAGATGTCATTTCCCTGCTCCCCCCCCCACCATTTTTTTTTATTTTTTACGTGTCCTGAGCCTCTGCCTTTAACACCGGAATGATTTAGCCGGCGGCGAAAGCCCCCGACACCCAGCACGCCGTGGAGACAGAAGTACTGAGAGGATACTTCGTCTGCCAGATCCAGGTGTGCGAAAGGCTGGATCAGACCGCTGGGGACCCCTCACGGCGCTACAGTTCCCATCACCTTCAAACCACAGTTCCCAGGATTCCTTCTGGGGCGTGTGTGCTTTAAATGCAGGGTGCATGAATAGTCCAAATATCTACCTTGCCTATAAACAGATGCTTCTAAAACGCACCCAAGGTCAGGAAAGCATAAGGCAGTAGCCCCTTCCCCTTTGCATCCGCACCCGCTGTCAAAACTGCTTCTCTGCAGAAGCAAAACAAAAAAAATTCCTTCCAGTAGCACCTTAAAGACCAACTAAGTTAGTTCTTGGTATGAGCTTTCGTGTGCATGCACACGTATCTGAAGAAGTGTGCATGCACACGAAAGCTCATACCAAGAACTAACTTAGTTGGTCTTTAAGGTGCTACTGGAAGGAATTTTTTTTGTTTTGACTATGGCAGACCAACACGGCTACCTATCTGTATCTGCAGAGGCAGACTGAGAGATCGGTGTGATAGGGAGGGCCAAGTTCAAATCCCCCCTCTGTAGTGAATCTTTTCCTTCTATCTAAGCTAGTGGCACGTCCCCCTCATATCCTGCGGCAGTGAATTCCATCAGTTACATATGCATAATTTAAAGACCTTTCTTTCTCTTGTTCTGAATCCGCTGCCGCTAATTCCACTGGCTGGTCTCGAAGCTCTTACCTTACTATTTTATTAACTTTACCACTACCCATTGTTTTATGAACTTTTCTAATACCTCCCCTTTTGGTAGTCTTCCCTGCTACCCCACCCCCTGCCCATATTTATATTCTTTCTCTTTCAGGCTCCAAAAAAACCCCCGTGGTTATTTTCACTGGCATTTTCTGTTTCTTTTCCAGCTTTGGGCTTCTTAAAAAGTGCCTGCTGAAGGTCTGGCTAGGCTGCCACTCCCCACTGTTACAGGCTGATCCCATTACAGCAGACCTGTCTCCTCCTCTTCTTCCTGTCGTATTTCCACTGCCCATCTCTGCAGAACAGAGGGTTCTTTCACACCTAAGCTCTCCCCTCCTTTTATAGAAAGGGAAAATCAAATTAGATGGCCTCTCCCATGTAAACACAAAAACAAAGAACAGCCTTTTTTAGGGCTCATGGAGCATAGCGGCAAAGGGAGTGCTAGCATCTCATTTGAATATCACCTCTGCCATGAACTCAGTACAGTACACAACAACAACAACAACAAGAAGGCAGTACAGTGGTACCTTGGGTTAAGTACTTAATTCGTTCCGGAGGTCCGTACTTAACCTGAAACTGTTCTTAACCTGAAGCACCACTTTAGCTAATGGGGTCTCCCGCTGCCGCCGCGCCGCCGAAGCACGATTTCTGTTCTTATCCTGAAGCAAAGTTCTTAACCTGAAGCACTATTTCTGGGTTAGCAGAGTCTGTAACCTGAAGCGTATGTAACCCGAGGTACCACTGTATATAACTGCAATGAATGAATGAATGAATGAATGAATGCAGTGGTACCTCGGGTTACATACGCTTCAGGTTACGTACGCTTCAGGTTACAGACTCCGCTAACCCATAAATAGTACCTCGGGTTAAGAACTTTGCTTCAGGATGAAAACAGAAATTGTGCTCCGGCGGCGCAGCGGCAGCAGGAGGCCCCATTAGCTAAAGTGATGCTTCAGGTTAAGAACAGTTTCAGGTTAAGAACGGACCACCGGAACGAATTAAGTACGTAACCAGAGGTACCACTGTACAGGGTGTTAGGGCAAACTACCCTTGGCTGCCTACACTCCATACATTTAAAGCACATGGCTTTTATTCAAAGAATATTGGGAACTGTTGTTTACCCCCAGAGCTACAGATCCCAATACCCTTTTAAAAAAGACTATGGTTCCCAGTATTTTCCTTTTTGTGTGTGCTTTAAATGTATGTGGCCTCAGTCCTCCCCACACCATTTGCAATATGGGGGATAATAATACTACCTCATGAGAAGATTCCCTGGAAAAGACCCTGATGTTGGGAAAGATGGAGGGCACAAGCAGAAGGGGATGACAGAGATGATTGGACAGTGTTCTCGAAGCTACCAGCATGAGTCTGACCAAACTGCGGGAGGCAGTGGAAGACAGGAGTGCCTGGCGTGCTCTGGTCCATGGGGTCACGAAGAGTCGGACATGACTAAACAACAAAAAAAATCTTACAACACTGGTCTTCCACTGGTGGGGCACAGCCCGATCCAAGCTGGGTGACCACAGGAGCATCATGCAAATAAAAAGTTAAGAGAATTTGGAATCGGAGCCTTTTGCAAATCGCCTAGAAACCTACCTGTAAATTCCTAATCTGCCTTTTATTCATCCTTGGTTCAACCCCCACCCACAGTATGCAAACCCCACTGCAGTGCAAATTCATCTAAACACCATAACACATTTTAGCTACCTTGCCAAAGGTCTCTCCGCACCTATCCCCCAAAACACCCCTATTAGCAAAAGTGTGGGTTCTAATCTGCAATAGTCCAGAAGAAACAGGTAGGACTTATTCTGGATCAATTCATCCAGAATTCAGCAGGGCAATTACGTATATGCAGCATTACAGAAAATCCAGGGGTTTTATCTACTGGACTTGACCCACTTTGGCTTTCCCAGTAAACCCAGTCTCCCCAGCTCCTTGCCTTATTTATTCCAATCCCCAGCACCCCACTATCCTCCCATGGCTCTTCCCATAATTGTATGCTTATCCTCTTTTTGGGACACTGCTGACACCTTGTGGCAAACAAATGGTTCTTTAAAAAGCTTGAGTAGGACTTCCATGAAGGCAGATTGGGCTCTTTCTCCCACAACCAAGTCTCCAAGGCCAGCTCTACCATTAGGCAGCATGAGGCAAGCGCTTCAGGCATCCCACTCCTAGCTGGTCCTCCAGAGTCCACTGGCTGTATCCTTCTACTGAAGGACAGAGTAGTCTGCTAAATGGCCCATCCTGCAACTTAATAACTTCACAGTGGAGGACAGTATCTCATTGCTGGTTATGATACTAAGATTCAGCTGCCAGGCTTATGTGTACACCCGCAATGGCTGGAGCAGGGACATTCTGTCTCTCACCTCACACTGAAAAATGTATTTGGGGAGTGCGGTGTAGTGGTTAGAGCATGGGACTACGCGTAACCTGGGAGACCAGGGCTCAAATCCCTACTTGACCATGAAGCTCACTGCCTCTGTTTAATCTACCTCACAGGGTTGTTGTGGAGATTAAATGAGGAGGGGGAGAACCATGAGCATCACCTTGCGCTCCTGGGGGGGGGAGGTAGGCTAAGATTGCAATAAATAATAAAACAACAAATTCCCAACCATATTGTTTACTTCCACACTAGAGCCCTTAAACACAAGAGGATTATAGAGGCACAGCTTTTCTGTGCTTAGGTTGGACGTGGAGTTTAAACTACAACCATAAAATATGGTGTATGCTGTTGGACTACACCTCCCATAATCTTTTGGCTGCTGGCCAGGCTGGCTAGGTCTGATGGGGTTGTAATCCAAAATATTTGGAGGACATCACATTGGCTACCCATCTAGCAAAGAATTTTCCTATGACCAAAATCTTCTGCTACCTTTACTCACACAAGGAAGGCCTGTTTAGCAAAGTTCACCTGCAACGCTAATGAAAAGATTATCCCTTGGAGGTCCTGTTGAGTTACTGTTTCTTGTTCTGTTTCCCCTCCCACCGTCTCAAATTTCTGGGAGACGAATTTAGATAAAATTCTTTAAATCTGGATGGATGATAGACCTCTGCCTCATCCAGAGGCACATTCAACCTGCATCACACTATCTCTGGGTCCAGTTCCCTCTCCCCGCCCACAAATAAAAATATCCAGTCGTTACCTCACCAGTTAAACATTTTAATCATTTTAGTTTCCAATTTACACTGATAATCAAAAAACGCGATAGTTTTTCCCACTTGTCACAGGGACTGTGCATGAGTTGCCCCCATCAGAGGGCAGGCCCCGCCCACTGCTGCGGCCTCCCCAACACGCACCGCTCCCACATTCCACATCCATGGGAACGACAGAGATTTTTTCCATGATGATTATCTTTGGGAGAGGAATGGATTCCCCAAGATTATTCTCTGGCGACACTGTAGGAAGAGGGCACTGCAGGGGAGGGTTTGGGTGAGGTGAATATGATGGGAGTATCACTCTTTTTGAGGATTAAAAAAAACACCACTCATTCTAAAATCAGGGCTAAAAGAACTTAAAAAACAACAACCCACACCTTGAGGAAACTGCTCCTCACCATAAAAAGCAGAATTTTTGCATACACATTTACATGTAATCTTCAAAACTCAAGACGCTGCAGTTTAGCAGTGGTAAAAGAGTGCTCTGGGTGGAACTGACACAGTCTCATTTTAGATACCCATGTGGTAAAAAACACACTCTGAGGAACAGGCTAGTTGGTTAAAAAAAAAAGAAGTTAAAACATGTGGCCAATGCTTTGAACACACCCAGTTTCCTCTCACATAGCAGAGCAGACACTTTATACCCTTCATGGGCCTCAACCACTCTGTCTAAGACAGCAAACGAGACTTCATTAGACTCTGGCAATTCATAGCATGAGGGAGCTAACATGCCGGTTTCCTGACACAAGATGGCTGCTGAGGAACAGAGCCGAGTTTTAGTCACCTACTTCTAAGCCCAATGGTGAATCCTGTTAAGACAGGGAGCTGGGGCCCCTTGCTCCAGAAGGCTTCTAGAAGTACCAGCTCACTAAACCAGAGACTCGAGGGATAGATTCCTTTATCAGAGAGGTCGCAAGTCCATGTACCATGAAAACAGGCAGAGGTGTGGTTTTCTTTAAAGACGCATTCTCTCTTTGCAAGAGGATCTAGAGTCAAATTATGAAGAATTTAAGCAAGTGGGCAGCACGGGAGTGAAAAGCGTTGTTGATATGGCGGACCATGTGTTATGTATCATCGGCACAGTCCATCTGTCCTGATCGAGCGAGCAGCCAAGAAGAGGGGCGTTTCACCAGGAGCGAGGGAGATCTTTGGAGATCCACGGCAGGGTGGAGGCTACATCCAAGCATGCCGATCATCCCAAATGGGAAGAAGCCTGCAGAGGCTACAGGTGTAAAGGCAGTGGCGCAGGACCACACCGTAACACAACCCTGCCAGTGACAAACTTGGCTTCCGTCTTTTGCGTGGCACGGGACACAGACCGCGTATATAGCTTCCTACTCCAGTCAAGAGGCCTGAGGTTGTTTCTTGGCCGCACTTAACCCACCACGCTCATCCGCTAAATCAGGTTGTGTGCTCCTCTTTATGGAAAGCGCTGCTGTCTTGCTTGCAATCTGGAGGCCGGGAGAAGAGAAACCTCAGTTAATTTTGTGAAATGGTTTCGTAACCGCATGCATCTGTGGAAAAGGCTCAGGGGAAGACTCTTCGGCGTCACATACAAGACTCCTGAGATCAGAATACCTGGATCAGTAACTTATTGAATGCCTTAACTGCCACTGTATGGTGTCAGAGGTTGGCATCTTGAGTTCCCTGCAGGGGACCCTCTGCCGAGTCCCTAACCTCTGGGGGCCTGCCGCTCCTCCTTTTCACTGTTGCTGCCAGTCCATTGCGCCTCTTTGAAGATGCAAGGACAAGTGTAAAGAGAAGGGAAAGCGCCCATCTCCACTTGCCCTGTGCTCCTTCTCTCTCTTGACAGAGAACAGAATCATAGTATTGTATAGCTGGAAGGGACCAAAAGGTTGATGTAGCCCAACTTCCTGCATTGTGCAAGATGTGCCCATAGGAAGGAGAGGGGAAGCTGCAACAGTAACAGTGGCAAGGAGGGAGGTGGGCCCACAAAGGAGGGGGGGATGCTGAGAGTATCTTCCCCAAGGGCCCCCCCTAAAACCTACTACTGACTAGATGGCGAAATACAGTAAAAACCTGAATTTGTGTTTTAGTGTTGCTGTTATATGAAGCACCATCAAACTGCATGGCATATACGAGGTGCAAGTGGGAAGGTCCCTGCCTTCAGGAACTCACTATCTGAAAGATGGCACAGGGGAGACAATAGAGGAAGGAAGGGAAATGGAGGTGTTGATAAATCCTGGGAGCAGGACATGCATTTATTTTAGATATACATACAGTGGTACCTCAGGTTACATACGCTTCAGGTTACATATGCTTCAGGTTACAGACTCCGCTAACCCAGAAATATTGCTTCAGGTTAAGAACTTTGCTTCAGGATGAGAACAGAAATTGTGCTCCGGCAGCGCAGCGGCAGCAGGAGGCCCCATTAGCTAAAGTGGTGCTTCAGGTTAAGAACAGTTTCAGGTTAAGTACGGACCTCCGGAACGAATTAAGTACTGTATTTTTCATCCCATAGGACGCACCGGCCCATAGGACGCACCTAGGTTTTTTTTGGGGGGGGGGAATAAAGGGGGGGAATTCCTTTATTTCACCCCCAAAACCAGGTCGGGGAATCCAAAGCAGGTCGGGGAACAGCGGGATGGCGGCGCTGCGCCTCCCCGCTGTCCCGCGAGCTTGTGGGGCTGCCCGATGTCTGCCCGAAGCGCGGAGCGCCCTGCTTCAGCGCTCCCCACGTTCCGTGCAGCAGGCTGCTATCCGCAGCCTAGGGAGCCCTGCGGGAACTTGCTGATAGCTTCCTGAAGCCTGGAGAGCAAGAGGGGTCAGTGCGCACCGACCCCTCTCGCTCTCCAAGCTTCAGCGAAAGCCTGCATTCGCCCCATAGGACGCACACAGATTTCCCCTTCATTTTTGGAGGGGGAAAAGTGCGTCCTATAGGGTGAAAAATACGGTGCTTAACCTGAGGTACCACTGTATTACAGTGGGAAGTATAATTAAAGGATAAGACTGTTGTTGATAAAAGTTCCTTCCTTTGCTTCTTGGGGCCATAGTAAAGGTAAAGGTACCCCTGCCCGTACGAGCCAGTCTTGCCAGACTCTAGGGTTGTGCGCCCATCTCACTCTATAGGCCGGGGGCCAGCGCTGTCCGCAGACACTTCCGGGTCACGTGGCCAGCGTGACAAGCTGCATCTGGTGAGCCAGAGCCGTACACGGAAACGCCGTTTACCTTCCCGCCAGTAAGCGGTCCCTATTTATCTACTTGCACCCGAGGGTGCTTTCGAACTGCTAGGTTGGCAGGTGCTGGGACCGAATGACAGGAGCGCACCCCGCCGCGGGGATTCGAACCGCCGACCATGCGATCAGCAAGTCCTAGGCACTGAGGTTTTACCCACAGCGCCACCCGCGTCCCTCTCTTGGGGCCATAAGGGACACTAAATGTTTGTATCCAAGCACACCCGTGATTGCTTTTAGGGCAGCCTGCCTTGATTTTGTGTTGCCCTTTGGATTTTATTTTTTAAAAGCTCTATGGATTTTGTTGTCTGCAGGCTTGTTTTATGACTCAAGTTATTTGCATTTTGCCATGACCTTTTGGCTTAGACAAGTAAACTAATAAATATGCCAAGAGGTAGGGAAAATATCTGCCCCTGTGTGAGGATTGTTTACTCTGACTGCCAAACTGCTTCTCCATGAAAATGTTTTTAGAGTAGGGGCCCAATCTACTCCCCCCGCCCCAAGAGGCAAGGGGAATTGCAGAAAGCAAAGCAGAAGAGGAAATTATTGTATGGCTGTTCGGAATTAATTTGGCTGTATATAAATATACTTCAGTCACAAAAGGTATGTAAATAATAATCCAGTAAGGAACTTGCTTTAGAAGACCCCGATCTGAGTAATAGTAATAGTAATATTAGCTCTGCATCCAGGACTCTCTCTGGCCTTTTGTACTCACATCATTCATAATTTTTTGCTTGAGCTCTTCATGAGTTAAGGGTTTCTCGTCTTCTTCTGTTATTGGCTCATGGCCAGTTCTGCAAAGAGCAAACATTAAGATGATAAAAACGAAGAGTGTCTTTTGCATTAAGTACTGCAAACCAATCCTTTTAAAAACAGTTTTTTTCAGGGCTCCTCCCAAGACCAATTTTTATTCAGCATTTATTCCAACTTGTTCATGAGGCATTTATACGACAATAAGCAATCATCCTGATGTATACATCTTCCTGTTAATCATTCATTTACCCCACAATTTTCAATGCATTTCCCCGTAACTTTCTAAGAAGTCCAGTTTTGTGGGTTTTTTAAGTGGATTTCTTGTACTAGGGTGACAGAGTGCTTTAACCTACTTTAAAGGCACAAACCTAAAGTTTTGCACTTGAATCCCTCCTGCAAAACAGCGGCAGTCTGGAGGCACCCAGGGGGATGGAATACGCTGCATCTGTTGAATGTTCTGCCCGCTGCCAAGTTATTCAGAGTAAAATATTTCCTGGGAAGTGGGCAGCTGGATCTAACCCACTGCATCCCAGTCCCATCCTAAAATTTCTCCTATGGGTTTAACACAGTAAACCTTTCTGCTCAGAAAATCTGCTGATATTCTGCTCTGCATGAGTGCTTTTCCTACCCCGTGTGTGTGTGTGTGTGTGTGTGTGTGTGTGTGTAAAAACCAAGGCCTCTTATGGCATTTAGTTTTGATTGCATTTTTTAAATATTTATCCAACATGGGTCTCCAAGGCAGCTTCAAACATAATTAAAACCATCCATTTCAATATAACAATTAAAAAATAATTACAGAATCAGCAACACACAAACATATACACAAAACAGAAAGCAGGAAATCAGTTAAATGTCTCAAAACAAACATGTCTCTTGAGCAAACAAGAACACGCAGAATTGGCAACTACAACTTAATAATGTAGGCACCCAATGACAGAAGCTAGACAGGGTGCATCAAAGAGCAGGGGCCATCCTAGAAAAGGCCCCGTTCTCCATTCCTTCTCCTTTAATGCTGAAGGTGGGAGCAGCCAGAACAGAGCCGTAGTAGAATTATTTGTTTCCCCAGCTTTTAATGTGTCTTATTTTATAGAGACAAAAATAAACTATACATTCTAACTAATGATCCTCATGTCATCTATCAACATTAAGGCACTGCAAATTAACATTGTTTTATAGAATTCGACAAACGATCTTGATATCCTACCAGAGGCTTTCTCTATATAAATAATGCATTCCTATACAACATAAAGACATAATTGCTTTATAATTAATTAATTCTTACTACTGTAGTTCTTTCTTTTACAAATTAGGCATAATTTGAATCTTAGATTAATTTCCAGTAGTGCTTTCCAAATATTTTATATTGAGTTTTACAATTCCAATACAAAATACATTCATGCAAACACTTTAAGGACTTTATCATCATCATCATCATCATCATCATCATCACCACAGTACTATTCCAGATTGTTTTATAGTAAAATATTTTATGCATTAATATTCTATGCCAAATATCTTTTGCTCAGTCCCACACAGATGGCATTTGCTGTTTCTTCCGGTGTTTAGCTATCCGTATCTGGGGACACTGCCAACATATTGCCCACCATTTTCCTTTCCTAATAGCATAATCATAGGATCCATAATTTATTCATATCCTATGATCTCATCATTTTTCTTTGTAATTTATTTTAACTGTGAAACATTTTCTGCAATAACATTCCATACCAGATATCTTTTTCTCATTCCCATAGATGTTTCTTTCAGTGTTTAGCTATCTGTATCTTGGGGTGTTAGGGACGCGGGTGGCGCTGTGGGTAAAAGCCTCAGCTCCTAGGGCTTGCCGATCGAAAGGTCGGCGGTTCGAATCCCCGCGGCGGGGTGCGCTCCCGTTGCTCGGTCCCAGCGCCTGCCAACCTAGCAGTTCGAAAGCACCCCCAGGTGCAAGTAGATAAATAGGGACCGCTTACTGGCGGGAAGGTAAACGGCGTTTCCGTGTGCTGTGCTGGCTCGCCAGATGCAGCTTCGTCACGCTGGCCACGTGGCCCGGAAGTGTCTACAGACAGCGCTGGCCCCTGGCCTCTTAAGTGAGATGGCGCACAACCCCAGAGTCTGTCAACACTGGCCCGTACGGGCAGGGGTACCTTTACCTTTACCTTTTATCTTGGGGTGTTACAAACATATTGTTATGTACCACCCCAATCTCCAAGCAGCGAGAGATTCCAGGGGTTCCAAGCGCTCACTCGGGGTTTGGTTTTCTTGGAACAGGGGTGTCCACTTGAATAAAATGGGCAACACCCATCAATATTTGAGGGGGGTCCTAGCTCCCTCAAATATTTTATGGGGGTTCAAAAGAACTGGCTCCTAAGTCTTGGAATGAAGGTCAGTGGAGACTGAGGTGTCTTTAGGGTGTATGGTTTTATATGCACATGTGTACAACCTGGATATAGGATTTGAGGGCTCACAACATTAACACATGGGTCCTACTTCCCCTTTAGGTTTCCAGAGAAGCCCCAATGTCCAGGACATGTTTCTGTTTCCCAGCTTCCAGCTCTCACACACAACAACTACTCTGGCTATTGCTTTTCTGCCTAGGCTCACATGGTCTCCAACCATGGAGTGCGGGGGGGGGGGACACCTGTCAGTTTGCATTTCTTAGTACAGAAAGTATTGATCTGATGTGTAGAAATCTTTCCTATTCTACTTAGTTCAAGAGTGTTCTGGAAGGTTTCTTTCTATGTGAAGGAAACAGGCAGGTTTCTGATGTTTGGGTTATTCCTTCTGGGAAGCTGAGTACAGCTGGTTTCAAACTGGTTCTGTTCCCTTTCTGTCAAGATCATGCTGACTATAATAATCAGGCCAGGAGGAGCCTGGGTTTCACACACTTTCTTTTTCCATCTCTTTGTTCTGGTGTGGTGTTCCGTTCTGTTGGCTATAGTGTTTAGTCTTATTATAAGTACTTTTTAAGTTTAAGTTAAGTCTGCTGCAACTGGATTTCTTATGGACTGTGCCAATCCTGAATGTATTGGATTTGTGACCATTATGCTCATTTGCCTTCAGTGGCAGTAAAGCTCTGCTGGATGAAATACAATTGCCTCTGGTCTATTTTTTGGGAACTCTGCAACGTGTTTAAGTCCTCCTCCACATGCATGACAACACCTACCCCATTTTCCCAGGCAGAATCATCACTTAGCTCATTCTTTGAGATGCTGACAAGCAGTTAAACTGGACAGCTAAAGCCATTACAAAAAGAATACACACTCATAACAATATTCTCTAACATCTTCCCTTAACATATGCTCATTCAGTTTTCCTAATAACATAACCATGGGGTCCCTCATAAACTCATATCCTATGCTCTCCAATTTTCCTTGTCACCGCAACCCAAAACATCTGAACTTTCCATGATCTCAGTATAGAACCCCCTTTGCCAGCCCTCCAGCTGCTGGGCTGGCAGGAGCTGATAGGAATTGTAGTCCAAAACAGGTTGATACAGAAAACCTTAAACATACGGGCAGGTTCATGTGGGGTTAGGCAGGTATCCTTACCCAGCAGTGGGTGGCCGAACAAGCATAGGCTGTGCCCGAATCTCAGGTTTCTGCCCCAGAAGCAGTTGCACTGTCTCCAGAGTGTCGTAGGGCTGATCATATTCCTGAGAAAAGAAGAGGCAAGGTTTATTGATTGCTTCCTCTCCCACTAGAGATTTAAAATAAAACAGCCTGAGGTCAAGTACTCTGCCCCACCTATTAATCCAGATCTATCTATTCTTCCTACTAGATCAATTAAAAACAGAGCGACTTCGTTAGCTGCAGCTAATATGAGAATTTTGGTTTTCGGGTTTTTTAAAAAGGTTACTAACCCTCACAATTGCAGAAATGCATTTGATAAAATAAAAGTAAATGTGTTAAGGGATTTGAAATGAGGCTGGCAAAGCAAAAGTAATATCATGCTTTCAAGCCCTGTGGATTCCACTGCAGAGCTGCAAAGTAATTTCCCTCTGCACCAGGACATTTTGAAAGGAACACATAGAAACAGTTATATCAGAATGGGATTAAAACCCTAGACTATTCAACAGGAAAGATTTGCAAGCAGGTTTGTCCTGCAAAATCGATAGGGGTTCTCACTCTCAGTAAAATATTTTGCACACGGTAATTGCAGCAGGGAATTGGGCCCAGAGAAGTGAGTCAAAAGGTTGTCTCCTCCTCTCCCTCTCTCCATGATCCCTGAGCCATCCCTTTATCCTGCCCCTGTTGTTGTGTCCTGCCCATCCACCCTGCATACCTCAGCCTTGGCGAAAGAATACATAGCCAACAGCTGGTTGGTCTTTTGTTCAATCAAGCCCAGGTAGATCGCAACATTCTCGTCCTGGGCAGTCGTTGACCCGCCCAGCTTCTTTTCCAGCACTGAGTAGTCACACTGCAGTTTCCAAAAGAGAGCCTCGATTGCTTTGAGAGGAGGAAAGAAAGCAAAATGAATGAACCCCTGCCCACCCACACATTTCTTAACTTCAAGCACTCATTTCCACTCACTTCCTAGAGAGCGTGGAAGTCTTGAGGTCAACCTGGATAAGTGTCAGGGTCAGCCCTGCACATGAGACAACACCACGTCCCCCAAAATAAACACCTCTCCCTGGGAGCAGAATAATAATAATAATAATAATAATAATAATAATAATAATAATAATATGATTAATCATTTTTCTGCTCTTTCATGGCACACAGAATTTGCTGCCCAAGGCAATGGTAGCTCCAGCCCTGCTAAGAGTCAACTTGATAAATGGTGGCCTGGTTTGCATGGTCTTATCTTGGCATTTAATAAGCCAGGATATGCATGAGCTACTGCTGCTTGCAGGTGCCAGGCAGCTCCTTCGCTCAGCCCAGCAAGCAGGTGGCTGAACAAGCCAGGACCCAGCTGTCTACCATAGCTGCCCATTATCTGAAAACCCAGAAACTATGGTGAATTGCTTACAAACCAGCCAGGGTGTTAAAATCAACTTTAAGCCATGGCTTAATATCCTGGCTAGTTTGTAAGCAATTAACCATAGCTTCCAGGTTTGCACATGTCAGGAAGTGAGGAAGAAGCCATCGATTTCCATTTCAACCTGTGTTTGCTGCATGCAGCGCTGTTTCCATTCCACTGCAGTTTGGCTTCTGACAAAAAAAAAACCCCTATGTTATTCAGCTCACTGTCCACTGTGGTGGAACTTGACAGAACCTCTGACATTATTTCACACCATTCGCTGCACTGCAAAGGAAACACGATGAAAAGCGGGAGGGAGAGTCATCAATTGTGTATCTTTTGCAAGCTTTAAATGGCAGCAACAAATACCGCTCATATTCGCTGGATTGCTTTCCATCCCTGGCATGGGATGTATAAATGAGCATTGGCAATTTCCACCCCCATTCCCATCAGAATTCCTCAACAACCCTATGGGAAGCTATAACTGATAGCTGAGTCCTGGCTTGTTCAGCTGCTCACTTGTGGGCAGAGCGAAGCAGCAGATAACACTCATTCACATCCTGGCATATTGAGCCAGGATATGATAGTGCAGATTTGCCCTGCATGTTCTGTACTTTTTGTCTACATGGCTCTTTGGAAGCTATCTTCAACTGGCCAGCCATCAGCCCATCTTGTGACTATGAATTCCAAGAGACAGGCTGGAGTCAGGTGACAGCTTTCTTTTGTCTGTTTTCCCAGAAAGCTGAAGGCAATTGGAAAGAAGGGTCCATTGGGAAAGGAAAGCCTCTTAAAATCACTCAGCTTTCTTAAATGCTGGAGTTTGTCTTCAGTCCTAATTACACATTGCATGGAAAATAAAAATAATAAAAGAAATTATTTCCTTTGTCCCACACCTACTGGCAACCAATTCCACAGGATAAGCCTGAGTATTACTGTTTTGACAAAATGATATTCTCTCCCTCTTCCAATTTTGCCTTTCAGGCCTCCCCCCTCCTCAAGCTTATCTGTCTGCTAAGGATGATACAGCCAGGATCTGTGCTATTTTCTGTGACTAGCTGTGCCTGTTGGCTGATCATCCTGTTCCACAAGGGAGTCTGTGGACTGCATCAGGCCCATACAGCCTTTTCAAACCAGAACACAGAGCTATTTCCCTCCCCACCACTATCCCAACTACTGGCAAGGAACCACAACCGCTTCTTCCTTTTAAAAAAAAATAATGGTGCTGAAGGTAACAGGGCCTGGTGACCAGGGCTGGGCACTGGCATTCGCTGTTAGAAATTGAAGCCTCTCATTTTCCACTATCTGTGTAGTGCTAGCCTAGCACTCAAACCTGCCCAATAGTGAGAGCCAGTGTGGTGTAGTGGTTAGAGTGTCAGACTAGAACATGGGGGACCAGGGTTCTAATCCCTCCTCAGACATGAAGCTCATTGGGTGACTCTGGGCCAGCCACTGCCTCTCAGCCTAACCTACCTCACAGGGGTGTTGTGGGGATTAAATGTGGAGAGAGTGAACTGTGTATGCCACCTTGAGCTCTTTGGAGAAAAAGGTGGCATGTAAGTGCAATCAATCAATCAATCAATCAATCAAGTGCTGACCAGATTCCTTGCTGTGAGAGCTCAGCAACTGCTATGAAAAGTGGCATCCTGAGAACCTAAATTTTCAGTGCAAAGACAAAACCAAGCCCCAAGTTCCGCAGGTTGCAAAGGAAAGCTTCAGAACATGTTTCCAGTTCCTACGATGGTGCCTCCACCGTCTTTCTCTTCCTGACACACAAACACGGTCCCTGCTTACCGTTCTTGAGCTGCTCCCAAATCTTGTGGTGGCCCTTCAATGCCAGCTCAATCCGGTTCGCCTCTTTCACAGCTTCCTCCTGCTGCGCTTCGGCCTCCTTGAGCTGCAACAGCTGCTCCCCGTCCTCCTGGGCACTCCGCTTTTGCGCCTCCTGTATCTCATGGTAGAGCTAGAAGAGTGGAGAAGCAAGATGGAGAAAGCAGGGGGGTGGGGGTGGGGTCATTCGTTTTACTATTACAGGAGGTTGGCAAAAACAAGGCGCAAATAAGAGATAAGAGGGTGGGAGGGCATCGTTCCTGAAAGAAGCTTGTGCAAAAATAACACTATGGTGCTAGGACATCTCAAAAGGGAAAGAGCCCTGCTGCAATGTGGTGCAGCCCAAGGTTTATTTGGGTAAGTAGAGGACAGCCACAGCATACATTTAAAGCAGATTCAATGCACATAGCTTTCCACAAAGAATCTTGGAATTCTAGTTTACCCCAACACCCTTAACAAACTACAGCCCCCCACCACCACCACAAACCACATGCTCTAAATGTATGTGGTGGGAACGCATACTGCTTGTTTCTGCGCTTGTGTTGAATAAGGAACTGGGAACCAGGAAGCAAACTTCAGCCTCGTTCAGCAACATGCGGCAGGAATCCCTGCTTGCTAACAGCAGCCAAGGTTGGAAGAATTGGGGAAGAGGGTGAGGAAGTATGGGCTGGCATTGTGATTATGACAGCATTGTGCAGAGACTGCAAAAAAAACTTGCTTGCACGAATATCACTACTTCTATGATAAACTGTAATACGGGGGGAGGGGAAACCCAAGACACAGCACTCACCTCAGTGATTTGTTCCCATATCTGCTCCTTCTGATCGTTCTGATCATTGACGTAGTTGAACTGAGCAAAGTTCCGTTCCTCCTCTGAAGTGGGAAAGAAAAACATCAGTAGTAGATCTTAACTCGCATCCCACTGCCTGAACCAGCCAGGACCCAAACTGCTTCAAGGGCAGCCCCTATGGAGGGTAAGGTCCCAGATCTCATTCTGTTCTTCCTGAGCCAAAAAGACCCAGAGGACAGTCATGGTTCAAAAGGAAAATGGACCCTCTCCCATTGCAGCCCCCTGCCCTGCCCATCACCTTGCACGTATATATTCAATGCAGCATCCAAGGTTGGCGCGTCGGTGAGTTCCAGGACTTGATCCACGGTGGTGTGTAAAGATTCAAGCATCTCCTCCTCAGGGTCTTTCCGTTTGGACTCTTCCTCTGATTGAAAATAAAGAGAATTTAGGAGCCCCGGTTCCTAGGGCAACCTCAAAGTCATGTGAATCCCCACCTCAATCAGAAACATGCATTAAAGGAGTGGAAAAGCCACCCATCTTTTTGAATCACTTGTCTTGACCAAAGCTGCAACATTTCAATTATTATAAACCGCAAGAGGAAGCAAGATGTGACGTGTAAACCAGTGCTGGTGGCTCGATTCTCCTCCAACAAACCACACGAGAAAAGCAAGGTTGATGTCCCCTATGATAAGGTTGCAGCACTGGGGGCTTTTTAGCTTAGAGAAAAGGGGCGCAAGAGGCGACAAGATAGACATTTATAAAATTATGCATGACATGGAAAAAAGGTTTTCTCCCTCTCTTATGACAAGAGAAATAGAGAAATCCCCATGAAGGTGAGCGTTGGGAGATTTGCATGGAGAGAAACAAACCATCAATGCTGATTTGTTGCTGCTTTTCAGTAAGCCATAGTCTGTTTAGCGGTGGCTTGCCGTTGACCCAATTACTGTTAATAATTGCTAAGCCAAAGGAAGTAGGCAGATTGCTTTAGAAATACTGTTTTACCCACATGCGAATTTAAATCAAACTCACATGATAACTTATTAAAATGTTTTAATTGGGCTGCAGCCATACTCTTTAGCCAACTATTTCTCTGAATACAAAAAAGTTCATTAAAATGTGTGTGTGTGTGTGTGTGTGTGTTGGGGGGTAACTTAACACAGATTGATTAGGTATTAACCCCCAAGATCCTCTGCTTTAATTCACAAAATTCTTCCCAGAGAAGCCAGCCGTCCTGGCTCTGAGCTGTCCCACTATAAACCACAACACACACTTGCTTCCCAAAGGCTAAGGAATACTTCTGGCACCAGACAAAGAAGCAAACACTGGCCCTTTTCTCACAAGGGTCTGATTGTGCAGTTTTTGGCTGCTGGTGATATCTGCTGTTGGTAAGTTATACCGTATGGTGATTTTGCTTCTGTAGATCCAAACAGATCTTGCTATTGTGGGGAGAATTTACTACAAACTTTTGTGGAATTTAATACATAACTTTTAGTTTTGCTCATTGCGTATTATTATTCAGGACATCTTGATTTTCTAACTGCCTTTCACCGTGAGTTCCCACGGCAAGTTACAACAATTTAAAAACATAACATTAAGAACAGTTAAAACAGAATACAATTAAGAGAATAGGGTGGACCCTGAGATATGTATCTCAGGCGTCAGAGGCCAGGATAAAGAGGTGCATCTTCAGCAAATGAAAACCACATGGCGAAGGTGCAAGACACACATCTGTGGGAAGGGAACATAGTTTAGGGGCTGCCACAGATAATGCCTTCTCCTGGGCTGTCCCACTCAACTTTTGAAGATGGCAGAATTACCCTACGACATTCTAAATCCTGGAGAGGGTCTGTAGGGAAGCAAGCGGGTCTTTCATACATTTCGTGCCTAAGTCATTTAAAGCTTTAAATCCTAGCATGAGCACTTTGAACTGAGCCTAGAAATGAATTGGCAACCGATGCACCTGTTTTGAAACTGGCTATGTGAGTTCTAAATGGATCCCCAGCCAGTAGCTGTCTTTTGGACGTGGTGAAGTCTCCCAAGTCATCTTCAAGGGCAGCCCTACAGAGAACATGTTGCAATAATCCAGTTCTGGAAGTTGCCAGAGCATGGGTAACAGCGTCCAAGTTATTTCTGTCCAAAAGGGTCCATAACTGACAAACGAGCCAGAGCTGGAAACTGGCACTCCATATCATTGAGGCCACCTGAGCCATTGCTTAGTTTCTATTTGTTCTGTACCTGTTTTGTCTTGCCACAAGACCACTTCTGGGCATGTGGGAATGAATGAATGACTCAATAAATAGCCTCTATATGACACACACACACACACACAAACCTTTCTTTTGCTTGGCCTTTAGTGCCTCCTCCGTCAACGTCCTCTCCTGCAGCTTGACGGAAATGAACTCATTCAAGCGCTGGTCATTCTCTATCTGGCGGCATAATTCTTTCATCTCCGATTCATACTGCGCTACATCTTTCTTTGCCTTGTCCTGCAGCTGGCCTAGGCGCGTATGTGCCTCATCCCTATATTTACCCCAGTGGACAAATGGGATGGGGACAAGGTTTAGATATGTGAGAGAGAACCACCAGCAATTCCACTCCCCAACTTTTCTTCATGCTCTTATCCCCATTCCCTCACCACCTCTGAAATCTAGCATAACGATGAAGAACGTGAGTGACAGGCGGAAAGGCCTTGTTTCACATATTACTTCACCATTTAGGAGAGGCCACAGCTCCCCGGGCATAAAACACCTCTGCGTGCAGAAGGTCCTATGCTCAACTGCTGCCATCTCCAATTACGGAATCTCAGGTAGAAAAGGCTGGGAAAGGCCTCAGTCCATGATACTGGAGAGCGGCCGTAAGTCAGGACTGACAGTGCATTGTGTTGAATGGGCTGATGGCCTGGTCCACTCTAATGGAAGACGCAGGTGCCGATGCGCAATCGAGAGCCTCAAAGTGCACTCCTTTGTGCACTGGAAAGGGAAAGAAGGCTTTGGCTCTACCACCTCATCACCTGGCAGTTTGGTAAAGCCTCGCATTCTTTTGAGCACCGTGCAACGCTCTTTGCAAGCTTTGGGTGGTGCCGTGAAGTCCCAACTATGTGACATCAGCAGCCCTGCCTGCATGTCAAATGTGGCCTGTGTGGCTTGGATCTGACCTACAGAGCCAAAAAGGTTCCTCAGGCTTGCTGCACGGGTCACAGAATCCTGCTTTTCCTGGTGCAGAATTTTTGTTTCCCTGAAGCAGAATTTCCATTCTAGTGCAGAGGATATATAGCCCTGTCTTTTATATTAGAGTGATGCTTAGAAGCTAGGACTTGGAGGGAGCATGGCTATTGCTGATTAAGTTGTCACAGCGCATGAATGGGTGGAGGCAGCAGGACAATGGAAGAGCAATGAAGAACCAGGGTATGAACATGAGCAAGGTTTCTGCAGGGACACTCCTCCCTGCCCCACCGTGCTTGAGTACTCCCCTTCCCCCAACCTTGCTTCGTAGGCTGCAGAGGATGTGCTGATGACTGCGCCAATGGCTCTACGAGTTTCCAACAGCTCCTAGAGGGAGAGAGAGGAAGCCATCAGATCTACAGTGGTGCCCCGCAAGACGAATGCCTTGCAAGACGAAAAACTCGCTAGACGAAAGGGTTTTCCGTTTTTTGAGTCGTTCCGCAAGACGAATTTCCCTATGGGCTTGCTTCACAAGACGAAACGTCTTGTGAGTTCTTGCGAGTTTGTTTCCTTTTTCTTAAAGCCGCTAAGCCGTTAATAGCCGCTAAGCCGCTAATAGCCGCTAATAGCCGTGCTTCGCAAGACGAGATAACCACAAGACGAAGAGACTCACGGAACGGATTAATTTCGACTTGCGAGGCACCACTGTAGTCCCTAATTGCAACACAGCCGTACCATCCTGTTCACAAAGTTCTATCTCCTCACTGGAGCCCAATCACAGCTCTTCCCTTCTTTCCTAACCATTGTCATCCACACTATAGCAGAAGCACAGTCCATAGATTTAAACTCCACATGAATCTGCAAGTGTTAAAGAGGTCCTTCAGACCCTGCCCTGTCAAACCCAAGAATCAGAAATCCTTAGGTCCAAGAGGATGGGAATAAGGCAGGGGGCATCATAATTTCTGTTGTCAGAATCTAGTTGGTCAGTTACAATCCCTAGTTTAATAAGAAAAAACATACTTTCCAAAATGCATGGTTTAGCTTTGTGATTCTCTCCCAGCCAATAAAAAGCCTTGATATTTTTTTTAATACCACTCTCAACAGTCAATCATATCCTTCCATTCCATGCTGCAGTCCTCTCCAAGCAACCAGATCTCACAATTCTATAACAGAACCTTCATTAGTCTATATCACGACTCCAGTCCCTCTCAGAAACTCTCTTGGGCAATTACATCCTGTCAACTCTCCTCAATTTTCTCTTAGTGTGAATGTACCGTCTCTAGACGTCTATAAAGCTGTTCGAAGTGATCATGTTCAAGCCGGAGAATTTCTAGATCCTCACGTAGCTGTGAATTCAAGAGGAGCTGAGAATTGAATTCTGTGGTGGTCTGGAAATAGAAAAGTGGAGTGAGAAACTGAAGACAAGCCAAGAATCCTGGCTCTCAGAAACCCTGGGCACTTGCAACCATTTTTACCCGGTCAAGCTGATTCTCAACTGTTCCTATCCGCTTCAGCAAGTTGCCCTTCTGTTCCTGGATCAGGGTCCCAGTGCCCACCACCAGCTTCTGGTCAGTCAAACGCTTGTTCCAGTTTTCGATCTGTCAGAAATGAAGAATGAAAGCAGGGAAATGGGATGAGAAACTTGTATTTGGGATAGAACTAAAGAATCCTTGGCTCTTGGATCCCCTGTTCTAATGAATTCCACCCTCAAGTCCTAGCTGCCAATTTCCTCTGCATATTTTAAAGCCCCCACACCCATTTTTAACCCCAAAAATCCTCCTCTCCTTTCTAGAGTTCCTCTTCACCTGGATTTTTTGGGGAGGTGGGGGAAGGTGAAGGTGAAGGAAAAAATCTTTTTCTTAGAGACTTCCATTCTGCTCTCAGGGCCTCACTTCACGCTACTTGTTCTCTGTACCTGCTATTATACTCCACTCCCCAATCTGGAAGGCCTCAAAAGCCTATCTCAGGATACTACTTCACATCAATAAATGCCAAGCAACTTGGTACTTAGCTCCCTTCTCCGTACCTCTTTATCAAGCAGGGCTACCTGCTTCTTCTCTTGAATTATTTGCCGCTTCACTTCATCCCGCTGTCCCAACAAGGAACGGAGAGTGTCACCATGGAGCTTTTCCTGCTGTGCGTTGGCCTTGCTCTCAGCCACAGCGTGCCTCTGAAGCAGCTCTTTGTTATCCTTCTCCAGGCGCTTTATCTCTGCCCTGTCCAAGAGAAGTGGGCCAGAGACTCTGAGGGGCGGCAGGATGACACGGCGAGACACAGCTGCGTGGGCACGGACGGGAGCGCCATGGCAGCAGGTGTGCTGGTGAGTTTTGGTTGGGATTGGTGGCAGCGCCAGCTCAGAGGAGTTTTTGAGACACTGCTACAGAAACTCCTGGAAAGCTGGTGATTTGAATCTGAGCATGCATCTCCCCAACTCTGGATGGGACAAGATGGAATGGGGAAGGGGGGAATCGGGACAGGATATACTCTCAGAAGAGAGCAGGCTTCAACAGTTCAAAATTAGCAGCTCTGTGTAAAAAGACACAATAGATTTCAGGCCTTAGGATGACTTATTGAGCCTTTACATGCCTATGAAACAAGCAGTGTTGGGAACGCAGAATTTCTGATTTCCCTACAAAGAAAGTACTATGTTTTGTAGGTCGGGGTAGAAGGCCAGAACTTCAAGGTTCTCAGGGGCAGGGATGATAAGTAACGTTCATTAAGTGATCTAAACCAGAGTACGGAGAGAGAGAAGAATCCTAAATTCTCTGGGAACGTTTTATACTAAAGGGGCAGGAAGAGGTTGGACACACAGAATCATGAGTACAAGATCTGAAACCATGTCAGCGTGCAAAAGCGCATAATGGCAAAAATAAAATGTTTGTACATAGATGTACACATATGTGATAGATTGTGGGGGATGGAATTTGGCCGCATGTGCTAAAGAAAGGCAGGTTACATGCACAAACATGTCCACACATGATGTGACCAAACCAATTGTCAGCTGTGTGTTGCCAGGAGCATATCAGTTGCTATGTGCCCTTGTGTTAAGTCAGTATCTGCTTCAGTACATGAGGTGGGGATTATTTCTTAATGCTCGGCTTACAGCTCTCTCCTTGCAGTAGGATGTACAATATTCAAATGCTCCCCAAATCCAAAACTGGATGTTTCAGAGCAAGAGATGACAGGCTGTGCTCTGTGCCAAGAAAAATGGACAGGAGATAGCACCCCTCAATGTGATTATATATACCACTCTCTCATCAAATTGTGGCACAACTGAAAACTAAAGGTTAGACAACTGGTCCAATGAAAGCAATTTAAGGCTGGTGATGGGCAACAGGCTTGTTTCTCTTAGAAATCTGAATATGATGTAAAAGAGGGATCACCTCATGGTGCACAGACAGCTCATTCTTGCCCCCAATAAAATATTTTGCAGGATTTGGTATAGCCTCCAAAACCCAAATGCATACACATATAGTTCTAAAGAACTATGTCCATCTCCAGCGTAAGAGGACAGTACAACCATGATGTTCCTGCTGTGAACAGGGAAAAACAAAAGGGCTCTCCAAAATGGATCCAGAATTTTAGCAAGGATATGAGATGAATACATACTTCTGCCTGCGAATGATTTCATGTGATTCGAAAGCGTAGGCATGGCGGTTGCCTTCTAGGAGACGAAACTGGCGCTGGAGTTTGGCTAACTCGCTTTCGGCTAGTGGGACACAAAGCCAGTGAAGCAACAGGTGGTTTGGGGAGACAGAGGAAAGAAAGGTGGTTAGAAAGTCCAGCATGATGGCCTTCTCTTAAAGACCCCACCTGTCACACCTGGCGCAAAAATTAGGGCAGAGACTAATGTGGTCCAGGATTACAGAAAGAAGGGAACTTCCCTGCTGTCTTTGGCACAGATTTGATGAGCACAATCATGAGCAACTTAATGACTACCAGTGGTATTCCATTTATATAATGAGCTCCAGTTGGCTTTGTTAGGCTTGAGACAAACAGCTGTTTTTAAGAGAGCCAAAAGGGGTTTGAGAGAGGCTTCACTTTCCATGAACATGCCCACAGGTTTTGCCCCAATGTCACTTCTGAACAAACAGGTTTTGCAGGTTCCTGTAACAATAAAAAAGCCTCTAAGACCTGGCTGCCAGAGGACATTCTTTTCCTCATAGAATTCTGGGCAATGTGGTTAGTTAAGAGTTGCTGAGAATTATAGCTCGGTGAGTGTGGACCCTCCATTTTCCAGGGACACCCCCAATTTAGAGAAGCCATCCAGGTTTCTGATTTGATCCTGGAACGTCCCACTTTTCCTTATAATGTCCCTATTTTCACTGGAGAAATGTTGGTGGGTATGGAGTTATCTGACCCCCCAAGCCATCTGAAGGCAATCCTGTATAGGGATGTTTTTTAATGCTCAATGTTTTATTACCCTTTTTATGTATGTTGGAAGCTTCCCAGAGGGGCTGGGGCAACCCAGTCAGATGTGTGGGGTATGAATAGTGAAATTATCATTAAGGAATGGGACACCCCTATTTTCATTGGTTAAATGTTGGGCGGTATGCGAGTGCCCAGAATCCTTTGAGGGAAAGAATGTGCTTTAAAGGTATGGCGTATACACAGCCTTCATGTACACAGCAATCCTTCTTTCAAAGAGCCTTCAATTCTCTGAAGAAGAAACACACACGCAAGTGTCAATGACCTCCATGTAGCCAAATGATAGGTTTCTTTGGTCACTATCAGGTTCCTGGACCCAGGGAATCCTTGAGTCTACAGAGCTTGGTCAGTTCTGGGAGGAATTGGTAGAGCTGCTTTTGCGCTCCTGATCTAGGCAGCCCTGATGTGTGGCATGCTTTGATCGGTGCCGAGCCCAATCATTCAGTGCAGTTTATCAGGAAAGGACTGAGGAACAGAAGAGGCTGTGCTGTCTTTCAGGGGAGGCAGCCTGGGGAGCGAGGAGGCAATACCTGTTCCCTCCTCATCAGAACATGATTGCATTTCTGATCAGGTGCTAATAGTGCCAAGAACAGACAAACCTTTATTCTACACTCCAGCCTTATGGACTTCTGGTCCCTTGGCGGCAGACAGGCTCTTGTTTTGTTCCTCGACTGCCATTTTCTGTTCACTCCCAGCAAAGCGAATGACTCAGTCTCTGGATCCTCACAAAGCCACTGACTCATGCCCACATGTGTCCCCCGTATGCTAGCAAGGATTTGGACAATTTGTACCTCCGCTACTTTAATTTAGTCCCTGCTGCTTTTCAAAGCCAACATTCACTTAAGAGGCCTAGTTCAAAGAGTAATTCTTACAAGCTAACCAAGACATGTGGAAATCAGCCAAGGCGCCCTTGGTTCTGTCTCTTTGGCCTCATTCTTTGGATACAAAGGCCTTATTTCTCATCCCTCTGCTCCCTTTCAAAAGCAGTCCCCTTTAGCAAGATTTTTGCTTGGCTTGAAAAATATCCCCCAACTCCTTCCTAGTCACCCTGGCAAAAACTGAAAGGAAATATATATTATTTCATGTAGCTGTCAAAGAAGGAGATACCCTCTTAGCTTTATTTTTATATCAGATTTTGCAGAGCTGTCTGGTACTTTCAGTTTGCTTCAGCCTGGGATCAGTTTCAGTGAGTCTGATGTAGTTATACACATTTCACTGCAGACAGTGAGCTACTAGCATAAATCTTCTCAGTAAAAATATTTAGTATTGCTGGTTTCATAGTTTCCCACATACATGCACTGGCCTAAGACCACAGCAATACTGTCCATGAAAAACCTTTATAAAAATACCAAATACATATACATATACCCATGATGACATGGGTGCTTTATTGCAGAGACTTAGGCTGAGAAATGTCATGGGAAGTTCCCTAACCACAAGAACATTTGCCATAACGTCAGCTGAATATCTACATGTTGTCAATGCATTAAAACATGCAGCAATTCAGAGAAGCCTGCACTAACCCCAAACTTCAAAAGTTTAAACTGCTCTGTGAGACAGCAAGAGTGCTCTGCTGATATTTCACAAAGTTTGGGGGTGGAAGGATGCTGTGAGGGAAAACAGCAGCCGCTAAAACACTATGGGAAGAGCAAGAATATATATGGATTTCAGCCTGGAATAATCACATTGGTGGAAACAATGTTGCAGTGAGCTAGACGAAATCAGGGCAGGCCCTCACCAAATCCAGACTTCGGCCATCATCGTTAAAGGATGTCTCCCTGTTCAGAGAAAGTAGACCTCTAAATACCAGATGTTTGGGACGAAATAGGGACTGTCACTTCCATGTTCTGCTTGTGAGTTTCCAAAAGCATCTGGCCAGATGTCAGAAACAGAATGTCTTGGATCCAGAGAGACTTAATCCAATCCAATGAGACTTTTATGTGCACAGCAAACTGAATGGAGAAAGTGGACCAGAGAATGACCTTTCTGTTTCCCTATTCCAATGTGTGTGTGGGGGGGGGGATTTTCCATTCAAATGACACTGGGATCACATCACAAGCTGCATCCAGGGAATCTAGTGTTACAAGCTTCCCACAACAATATTCCCAAATGCAAATTCTGGCTATGCAAGTGTTCCTAAAGCGGTATCCTCACTTCCCTCCATAGGAATTTACCAAGGCCTTCCAAGTCCACGTCACTGCCATCTGAGCGGAGGCTTGAAGCAGATTTGAAGAACGGCATCTTCAGTTTCTTCCTGCTGGTAGAAAAAAATGATAAAACAAAGTGGGAGGCTAGCAGGTGAGAATCACTGTCATAAAATAACTCATTCGTGGAAAACAGTGCAGCATACTGCATAAAACATTTGAACGGGGAGACCCAGGTTGAAACACTGCTCGCCATGACATTTCCCAGTCTGATCTTGGGCCAATCACATGAGCTTAACCAAGGGGGGCGGGGGGGGGCAGCTGTCCCCCCCAGATCAAGTAAAACAATAGAAATACTTAACTGACCAATCACATCGGTTCTCCCCCCCAAATAAAATCCTGGCTATGCCCATGGCCCGTCACTACATCTTAGTCCAGTGGTTCTCAAAGTTTTTTTTTCTGGGCCAGGCTTTCAGAATAAAAATTTGCTTGTGCCACACTGATTTTTTTTATTGATAAGAAATACAATGGAAAACAAAAAGAAACAACTCCTAGGCTGTGCTTGATTTATAACAATGAACACAACATTATGAAAAACTACCCATCCATATTCTGCAAATAAAAAACCAAAATTTTTGATACTAATCTACACTACGCTACACTGAAGTGTTTAAATGTTTCTTTGATTGTCCATGAATCTTTCTGCCACACTTGCCATCATCTCTTGCCACACCTAAGGGGTGCTAGGACAATTAACGGCAAGGGAGCAAGACACCTCTATTCTGAGCTCCCTAAATAAAAACATAAATAAATCCAAATTAAAGCACACAAATAAAATGGCAATCCAACATTTTCTCCCGCCAACTGACATTCATCCTACCAGTGTGCACGACGCCACAAAAACCTCTAACCAGCTGCATGCATCTAAATCAGGGCTCTGCTTTGTCCCTGGCAATTATATTTTCATGTGTTTTAGAGTCTGGCAAACTGCCTTGCGAGATCAATGCACCCTGAAAGGCAGGTTTTAAAAAATAAACTTCATTCTAACTCAGTACTTCATACGCAGTCTCTTCTGCTGCAATAGCCAGCATACTTCTATCCATTACACAGAATCATAGAATCATAAAGGGATCCCAAGAGTCATCTAGTCCAGCCCTCTGCGATGCAGGAATCCTGCCCACAGCCATCATTGGGTGGGTTCAAACCACCAACCTTCTGGTTAACAGCCAGGTACACTGGCTCATTGTGCCACCTGAGGGACAATTTGTGCCTTCAGTATTTCACCTTTAAGAAACTCCCATCCATCTTGAATTATCTTCTCTTTGAGTATTTCTGACCATGAGACTTCACCTAGTAGTTCCTTAAGAAGTATTGAAAGACTTCTAAAGATACCAATACCGTTCAAGAGCCCAGACTTATAAATATACTGTGATCATTTCCCTGCTTGCCTGAGGTGGCAGAGAACTGCCTCAAGATGCCTATACCCAAGAAGCTTTACAAGAGTTCCCTCTTTCTTTCAGTGGTAAGACATCAAAACTAGGGGGGCTTTGGGCTAAAATGGCAATATATAAATTACTTAAAACAAATGATTAACATGGGTGGTGGTAGCATTAAAAAAAGTTGTGGGCCAGAAACTTGTGCAGACTTATCTGCATACCCTTCAACATTTCTCTGATGAAAACAGGGGCAACCTGTTCAACAGCAGAAACAATAATCATTTTATTATTTATACCCCACCCATCTGACTGGGTTGCCCCAGCCGCTCTAGGCAGCTTCCAACATATATAAAAACATAATAAAATATTAAACATTTAAAAATTTCCCGATACAGGGCTGCCTTCAGGTGTCTTCTAATAGTTGTATAGTTACTTATCTCCTTGGCTCGGGGGTCACATAGCTCCAATGACGATAGGGACACCCTACCACACCCTCCAATATTTCTCCAATGAAAATAGGGACATCCTAAGGAAAAGCAGGACATTCCAGGATCAAATCAAAACTGGAGTGGCTTCTGTAAATCTGGAACTGTCCCTGGAAAATAGCAACACTTGGAGGGTCTGTATTTGCAAGGCTGCAAAATACAAGAAAGGGGTAAGCCATACAGTGTGAGTGATATGAACACTGGCAAGGCTCTCACACGATACAGCTGCAGAGTGAAAACTTTTTAGCAGTCTCTAATGATGCGGGTGGCACTGTGGGTTAAACCACAGAGCCTAGGACTTGCCGATCAGAAGGTCGGCAGTTCAAATCCCCGCGACGGGGTGAGCTCCACGTTGCTTGGTCCTTGCTCCTGCCCACCTAGCAGTTCAAAAGCATGTCAAAACGCAAGTAGATAAATAGGTACCGCTCTGGCGGGAAGGTAAACGGCGTTTTCGTGCGCTGCTCTGGTTCGCCAGAAGCGGCTTAGCCATGCTGGCCACATGATCCGGAAGCTGTACGCCGGCTCCCTCGGCCAATAAAGCGAGATGAGTGCCGCAACCCCAGAGTCGGCCACAACTGGACCTAATGGTCAGGGGTCCCTTTACCTAATGCAACAGCCAACCATGTAACAACAAGCCCTTAAAACTAGTGTGTTAACAGATCAACTTCTCAGTAACACAGAGGATGTACAAACGTTGTAATGCCCACCTCTTTCGCCTCACATTTTATTGGCTGAAAAACTATGAATGTAATTAGCAGGGCTAATTAGCAACAGCTAATTGTGGCTGTTGTTTTTAACAATTCCACTGTGGGTGCCTGTGTGGTGAAAAGGACAATCCACTTTTCATTTTAAAAATGAACATTTAAACTAAAATCAGGTGTGCATGCAGCATTTCCCTTTGTTGCCTTTATTGCTTTCTTGTGGTCCAGCTGAATGACCACAAAAATGCTGCTGCTGTAAGTAACATCTTAGTAGAACCACCCCTCCTGAAACAGAATAACCTCTGGTACTTAGCACAAGACACACAGACACACACACCATGTTACTTCTTAAATATATCCCATCCAATAGTTTTACGACCACAGCAAGCAGCATAATGCATTAGCACTCACTAAATTTTGCCCACACTTAAATCCGCTCATCTCTTTTCAAATCACGCATCTACCTCATCCTTCTTCATATACATACCATCCCCCCCCCTTTCCATCCAAATGCATCCCATGCCTGTTTTCCCACTATACCTAAACACCCTCTTATCCAAAATCTGTATTAAAATGCAGCTTTCTCAGCATCTGTGAACTGGATTAAATCAGCCCCACCTCCCGCTCCAAAAGCATTAACTAGAAGTACCTTTGCTCTCTACTGGAGAGCCACTCTGACAGCTATGCACTTTATGTATAGGCAATCTGTTTGGGGGATGCTGTGGTGCAAACTCCTGGGCTCTCCTGCCAACAGCACACGTTGCCTTTGTCAACTCAGTTGTTAGCAACCGTCTCCAGGAAATGCATCGGCTCTTCACCAGTCCTAGTGAATGAGGAAGGGCAAGAGGAGAGGAAAAAGAGAGAAGGTTACATACAACTGATTAGGAAGGCATTATGAGGATCCCTGGGTTCTCTAAAAGGGTAATCTAGGGGGCCAGCTAAAACAGGGGGCAAAAGTAGAAGAGGACTCCAGGGTTTATTGATAAGGTAAAGCAGGGGTTGAAGGTTATGGTGGACCCGAGATCCAAATGTGCTCAAATGAGACTGCTGTCTTAGAGCCCAAGAAAGTTATTTTGAATTCTCAAAGATAAAGGGAGGTTAAATTTGTATGAGTTATAGAGCAATAGCTTCTGACTCTACTGGGAAGGTAGTAGGGTCTAATGAGTTACAAGAGTCATTAAAGTCAAACACACAGAGAAAAGGCTTATCTAGGAACATCTGGTTAGTTTAGGCACATTTTTCTCATTTTTCTACCCTTTCTTATACAGTACTTTGCAATCCCTGCCCCCCAGCCCTACATACAACAGTCCTTTCACTTTCCACCATGCCACACAGGGTCCTAATACTTTCAGATGTACCTAAGGCTCTACCAGGACATATCATCATAATTGTCAGGTCATCTTGTTCCATGGATTTCTCAGGTCAGAATGTCAGCTGCCTACAACTACTGCTGTGTGCATTTCTAATCACAACAGCCCAAGAAAGCAGGAATTTAGTAGCTATATTTCCATTTACTCCCCCCCCGCCCCCTTCTCCTCAGGAAGTGCTTCATCTGCTTAATTTCTGTGTTCCATGCCACAGCGACAGTTAGAAAAAGAGATGGCAACCCTACCTAGCATTGTATATTGTTGGTGGGCACCAAGTAAATGCACCAAAGCTCCTATCTGCTTCCATGACCTATTGCCAGCATGTTATGCCAAAGCTTTAATGTACCAGATCCAGGACATGAGAGTTCAGGTATCAAACAAGTGAAGGGTCACAGCTCAGGCCAATATCATTGAAGATCATGCTAAGAGCCTGTGAGGGCATACGATGTTTAGCAGCTCCAAGGATCCTAACAGGATGTGGCAGTGCGGTGTAGTGGTTAGACTGTAGGACCTAGCAGGCCAGGGTTCAAAACCCCACTCAGCTGTGAAGCTCACTGAGCAACCTTAAGCCAGCCATTGTTTTATCAATCTAAACTACCTCACAGGGTTGTTGAGGATTACATAGGGGCAGGGAAGAACCTTGAGCTCCTTGGAGGAAAAATAGGATACAAAGGTAATCCTAAAATCCCAATACTAATGTGTTTGGAGGTACGCGCCTACTCCAAAGACCCAGCAGGTGACCCCAAAGCCTGACCTCACCAACGTTCTCTATAACCATGCCAAGGCACCTGAACCACCCCCTAGGTCCTGGTAGATCTTGCTAAACGTGTAGCCATGCGGCTATGGGGCTCAGTCACACTGCAACCCCTACAAGTCATGCCAAATTCCTTTGAATGTGCCAAGCCCCCCCCCCCCCATGTCCTGGAAGGCCACACTGAAAGTCCTGCAAAGTCACGTGACTCCGAATTATCAGCTCACAACCACACAAACCCCTCAAATCCCCCCTGTTTCGCCCTCTCCACATTTACTCAAACCATACAGAGGATCCCAGCAGTCCCTAAGCCCCACCCCTTCTGGTAAGCCCATCCCTTTACCTTACAGGCCTGCATTCCCACTGCGCATGTGCGAAATTAACAGTTCCTTCCTTCCTTCCTCCCCCCTCCCTCTCAAGCCTCTCGTTTTACCACCCTCCAGATTAGTTCTAGGCACATGCGCAGTGTGCGACTTCGTAGCTGCCCGGCGCGGGGCGGGCGCGAGGCGACGTACGTAAAGGATCGACGACGCGGGAGGGTTGTCATGGCAACTTTCCATCGCCAATGGCCCTTGCCAAACCACATCCCTCGCTCAGTTTGTCCCACTGCTGCTGGTTGCCATGGAGACTGTTTCAGAAAGGAAGCTCGCGAGGGCTGGGAGATAATGAGGCACCGCGAAGGGAAATATGACAGGCTTTGGATGGGGCAGGAAGAGGGCTGTTTCGGAAAAAGGGGAAACTTTGCACCAGCCCCTCGACTGAAGGGAAATTTTGTATGGAGGAGAAATGACTAGTAATTTTGATTATTTTTTTTGCTCGACTGGCAAATTATAAACTTCCCCCGCTGCCTTCCAGTTATACATCCATAAACTAGAATGTTACGTTTTTATTCAATATTCTTTTTGTGACTTTTTAGTGAAGGGCAGAATATAATTCCCATATTGATGTGGGGGAAATGCTGGGTCCCATGTCTACGAGTTTATCATTTTTTACTTATCATTGCATTTATAACCCATCTTTTCCTCCAAGGAGCTCATGGTGGCTTACATGGTCTCCTCATAGCAACCTTGTAGGCAGGTTAGGGTACACTACTGAGCTTCAAATCCACACCACACATTTAAGGCACTATTCTACTACTTCAACTGTAATGGGGAATCCTAGGAACAGTTTTCTTAAGGGTGCTGGCCTCACAGAGGTACAATTCCCAGCACACTAAAAAAAACAACCACTACAGTTCCCAGTATTCGCCGTAACTGTTAAAATGGTAAAATTGCGCTTTAAATATATGGTGTGGATGTGACCTTATAACTGTGTGGGAATTTGAAACCTGGCTTCCCAGATCCTAGTTTGATACTCTTAACCAGACAAGCTATGTTTCTAGTCTTCATGGTTATGGATGAGGAAAGGGGTAGTGGTTAAAACATAGTTTCTAGTCCTCATGGTTGCAAGGAGGCAATCTTAAAACAGAAAGTGCACACATTCTTGGGAATTGGGAGATGCAATAGCATTATAAGCAAACCCTTTCCTGTCTCTTCTTACCCTCCCACAGAATAAATCAGGTTAACATAAGAGGGCAGCCTCAGACTATTCAGATAGCTGGGTAACCGCTCTGCAGTTTCTGCTTGTGGATGACAGCTCTGCATGGGGAACCTCACAACATTGCAAGTCTCTAGCTCTCCCTTTATATGTGTGTGTCATTCAATACTTAAACCCATGTTCCAGTCAAGGTGAATGAGCAGTATTTAAATTTTACTAGCACACTTTCATTAGGAGTCACTCCTCTGATGGGGTTGATCTGTCAAGACTCCAAAATGTGGAACTTTGGCTGAATTTTGCCATGGCTTTGCTTGTGTGCTCAGAGCTTGGTTTTTTAAAGTGGAGTCCTGTAAATTTTTTTGTATCCAAGAATAGGGATAGATTAGTTCTATGATAGTTTTTCTCTATGCATGCAGAGTAGCTGGCATTCTGAGGTGGTAGAATGGACTATATTACATCTGAATGCTGATGGAGGATCCTGCACATTGTCAAAAAATTCCTGCAAGTAGAAAAATAGTATACCAGGAAGCAGACATGGGGGTGGCCCCATGTCCCAGGTCTTGTCTGTCAACATAAGAAGACCTACCGAGTTCATCATTCTGTTCCCACAGCGGCCAACCAGATGTCTATGGGAAGTCTGAAAGCAGGACTTGAGTCCAACAGCACTCTCCCTCTCCAGCTGCCTTCATCAGTGGAGAGAGAACATACTGTGGCCATTGATCTACTGTGGGGCATTGGATCTGGTCACCTCTCCTGAAAAAGGATATTGTAGAGTTGGAAAAAAATTCAGAACAGGGCAACCAAAATAAGGGAATGGAGCAACTCCCCTATGAGGAGGAAAGGTTACAACATTTGGGGCTTTTTAGTTCAGAGGAAAGGTGAGTAAGAGGTGACGTGCATAGAAGTGTATAAAATTATACATGAGAAAGTAGAGAGAAAAAGGTTTTACTCCCTTCTCTCATAACGCTAGCAATGTACCTAGCAGTGCCCTTGAAGCCTGGACTATAAGCATTCTCTCTAATATGCTAATAGTTTCCCTTTACTTGTAGGGAGATTTTTGGTTGGTTTTTGTTTTGTTTTGTTTTTTGCTTTAATGTAGGAGAAGATAAAAAAATTGTACACCCCCCCCCCCGCCGCCGCCACTCCTTGCAGCCTGAATTCTACTCTACCACTTGCCTATTCATTCAGATGCCTTTTTGTAAACCAGGCAATTAGTGGGAATCCGTCTGGGACTATTTTTAAACTTGTGCTATGATTTCCATTTTTGCCCTTGAGCTTCACTTTACTTTCTGGATAAATAAATACTTTCATTGAAAAGGCAATTAATCCAGTCACTCCCTGTTCCAACTCTTCTCTTGCCAGTCCTTCCCTTCCCCGTACCTCTCATCCACTCTACACCACAAGAACATATATACGTGATCACACACTCTTGTACTCGCATGTTAATTATTCTGGAATAGTTAACAGGCTCTGGTCCCGTAACCATGGCTATCTCGAGTGCATATGCAGAAAGGTGAAATAGATACTTTAAAAAAGAATGTAATGTTTTTAAGTGCCCAGCAGGATAGAAGCAATCATGATTTGCTTATTTATTTATTTAACCCCTGCTCTTCGGGATCCTTCTGGATGGAAAAGAGGGGTTGAACTAAAACAAGTAAACAAGCTATTATAGTATTGTTATGGTATAAGAGATAGAAGATAGGGTGCGGCAGAGGGGGAGAAATAAAAACACCATGGAAAAGAGTATATTCAAGTGTATATGTTAAACTTCTGAAAATTTAATTTAAAAAAAATAAGTAAACAAACAACTGTCATAAATAACTCCATCCAGAAAGGTGCACTAAAAGGTAGTAGAAAATCCAACCTTTTATCAATCTATAGACACCATGACTATAAATATGGCAGGGAGGTAAGTGGGTATGAGCAGGCCACTAATCTGGGTTAAGTGATCTTGAAGATGTACTGTGGAAAATTTCCCACAGTTTTAAATCTTAAATTGTTTATGGGTTGTATACTTTGCATTAACAGTAAATTTAAATATTGCTATAGGTTCTGGGTGCCAGAGTTTGTGAGTGAAAGTCACCCATAATTTTTTAATTCAGTAAAAGAATTAAATTTAGTTCCTGCTAATGAGCCAGGCCAGCTCCCGCAGAGCTAGCTGGATGGGGGCTATTGGAAGAACAGGCTGATGATGGCTTGTCATTAAGTCTTCTTCTTTGGTGATCACTCATAGCAGAGTAAGATTGTCTTCCATAAACACGGTTTTAACAATGAGTCTGTAAGTGACTGTGGAGGCCAATTTTCTGTATCCACATGTCCTTCCACAGTGGGGACATTGGTTTCTGGGCGGGAGTTGATCACAGTGTGGATTTGCCAAGAGTACCTTCCTCTTAGCACGTTTCTCCCTTACATCCTGAGTTCGAGTGTCTTCAAAGCCCATGACACCTTTGGTAAAGGCTGTTCTCCAACTGGAGCGCTTGCAGGAAAGTGTTTCCCAGTTGTAAGTGTTTATACAGTACTACATTTTTTTAGATTTGCCTTGAGACGGTCTTTAAACCTCTTTTGTTGACCACCAGCATTAAGCTTTCCATTTTTAAGTTCAGAATGGAGTAGTTGCTTTGGAAGACAATCATCAGGCATCCGCACAACATGACTAGTCCAACAAAGTTGAAGAATCATTGCTTCAACACTGGTGATCTTTGCTTCTTCCAGTACACTGATATTAGTTCACCTGTCTTCCCAAGTGATGTGTAAAAAAATTTCAGAGACACCGTTGGTGGAATCTTTCAAGGAGTTGGAGATGGTGTTTATAAGTGGTCCATGTTTCACACGCATATAGTAAAGTTGGTAGTACAATAGCTTTGTAAACAAGCATTTTGGTTTCCCTGTGAATGTCTCTGCACTTCAATTGGGAGAAAGCCGCACTCACAGAGCTCAGGCGATGCTGGATTTTGGCATCAATGTTGGCCCTTGTGGAAATATAACTACCTAGGTAGGAGAAGTGATTGACATTTTCCAATGTTACACCATTGACCTGGATTTGTGGCACTGCAGAGGGGTTATTTTGTACTTGTTGGTGCAGCACTTTGGTTTTTTGGATGTTGAGTGATAGGCCAAGATTTTTGTAAGCTTCTGCAAAGATATTTAGGATGGTTTGGACTTGGTCATCCTCTGAGTGTGCGCACACTACGTTGTCATCAGCATACTGAAGCTCTATGACGGAAGTTACGGTAACCTTACTCTTTGCTTTCAGACTGCTCAGATTGAAGAGCTTTCCATCTGTTTGATACATGATTTCTACTCCGGTGGGGAGTTTCCCTTCGACAAAGTGTAGGATCATGGCAATGAAAATAATGAACAGAGTTGGGGCAATAACACAACCCTGTTTAACACCTGATCCCAATTAAAACCATCAACAAGGCAAAATACTCTGATACAAAGAGGAAATACTCCACTCTGATCTCTAGGTAATTAACAAAAGATAGTACCAGAGTTGGGAGGAGAAAGTTTCCAGGGTTGTAGTGGGCAATAATATAAGCAAACAGGGAAAAAGTGTCGCTTTTGCAAACTGGAGGGGATAGGGCAGAGCATGAGGTGGGTAATCTGTTTTCTGCTGCAGAGAGGGTGATACACGATGTTTAGGGTCTCTTGGAATCAAAGGCTGCAGCAATGGAAGGAACAGGGCTCTTTTAGGATGGGAATGCTCTGCACACTCTCCATCTAGGCTTAGGTTGTATATATGTGTAAATAAACCATATATCATAAAGACGCCACAGTCTCTGCTGTGTCTCATCGTCCAAAAGGAAAGACAGACCCTGGTAAGCATGCCTGGTACCCCTGGAATCTCACACCGCTCAGACATTGGGCGGTGTGTAACAAGATGTTGAGCATGTTGAGCCATTTAATGTGGGTGGGAGGGAATCCTTTTTGTTTTGTTTTTCATTTCAGAGTTTTCTGCAAATAATTAGCTTCCCATACCTTGGTTGCTTCCAGATTACCTGTTTATTGAGCACTCATGCTGATTTGTGTTATTGAATCTTGAAGTGCCCATCCTACAGTCCAGTTTCTCACCTCAAGGGTATGTTAAAAATATTTACACATTCTGGAGTAGTGAATATGCTGCCAGAACAGTCCTCCCTTTTCCTTTTTCCCTTTTGTGGAAAATAAAGTACCCTAAACTGCAAATAAGTTGTCATAAGTAATCTGAGCTTTAATTTTTTCATGATTTTTTCTACCATTGCTAGGAACCATAAATTGGATTACAACTGTTGATACTATTAATCATGCAGCCATCAACATACAAGAAATGAATTACTTGTGTTAATGTCTTTGTTAACGCCTCACAAAATTTTTAACAGACTGTGTACACACCATACATTTAAGGGCACACACACAAATTCTGGGATCTATAGCTTATCCCTCACAGCTTCAATTCTTAGCACTGTTTAAAAACTATGGTTCCCAGGATTCTTTGGGAGAAGCCATGTGTTTTAAATGTATGGTGTATACACAGCCTTACGCTGATGTAATATTTACATTTTGTTGCATGATATAATTTATTCTTTAAATGTCAGTTCCCAAAACAAAAAATTCTGCCCCATTTGTATCTTTCTTGCTCTCCCTTCAATAAGCTAACAGCTATGTACCTAGGTATTTACTATTGCTGCTCTAGGTGTGCCCTTGGATTCCACCTGATTTTGGTGCCCCATTGTGGAAGTTGTTAATGTGAGGCAGAGAAGTATCAGACCTGGATAGAATGACCCAGTGGTGAAAGAGAGGTAGTCTACGCATGCTTCGGGACACATTCATTTTATGAATACTTTGGGGCTAAGGTAAAGGTAAAGGGACCCCTGAGCATTAGGTCCAGCCGTGACCGACTCTGGGGTTGCAGCGCTCATCTCGCTTTATTGGCCGAGGGAGCCGGCGTACAGCTTCTGGGTCATGTGGCCAGCATGACTAAGCCGCTTCTGGTGAACCAGAGCAGCGCACGGAAACGCCGTTTACCTTCCTGCCGGAGCGGTACCTATTTATCTACTTGCACTTTGACGTGCTTTTGAACTGCTAGGTTGGCAGGAGCAGGGACTGAGCAACGGGAGCTCACCCCGTCGCGGGGATTCAAACCGCCGACTTCTGATTGGCAAGTCCTAGGCTCTGTAGTTTAACCCACAGTGCCACCCGCATCCTTACTTTGGGGCTAGATCACCATAATTGTTTTGGGAAGGAACTGTGCTGAGCCTTGGCTCAGATACAGCCCTTGTTACTTCATTGGATTGATTGATTGATTGATTGATTGATTGATTGATTATGAGGCCCAGGCCCAGTAAATTTTAGTCTGTCCTAGGAATACAATAACCCAGATAATTGGACTAATGGTAGAATCAGGACAGACTGGAGAAAGCACTTAATTTTATAATTATTATATAAAATGTATAATATCAGGGCTTTTTCAGCCGGAACTCGCCGGAACTCAGTTCTGGCACCTCTCATGTGGGCACCATTGCCATTATAAGAGAACAAGGGAGGCGTTCATGGTGAGTTCCGGCACCGCTTTTTCCAGAAAAATAGCACTGTATAATATGTATTCTTGATTGCCACAAGAAGCAGCGATGGCCACTTCACTGTCTTAGGACACTTCCAGAGAGTCACCGTGGGATTCAATCACATACCAGCAAATTCAGGTTGTTCAGTTACAGCTTATGTGGTGGAGCCCTTGCACAACAGACCCCAAACTCCAAAAAATCTGATTGTTTTTATAATAAGGAAAATGTGGTGGAAATGCACTGGATAGTGTGGGGCGAGATTTGCTTAACCTCCCCACAGACAAGGCAAAAAGAGTGCTCAATCAACAGATTGTCTGGAAATGACCTTACGTGTGGGTTAAACCACGGTAACTGGCATTTCCGTGTGCTGCTCTGGTTCGCCAGAAGCGGCTTTGTCATGCTGGCCACATGACCCGGAAGCTGTACGCTGGCTCCTTCAGCCAATAAAGCAAGATGAGCGCCGCAACCCCAGAGTTGGCCACGACTGGACCGAATGGTCAGGGGTCCCTTTACCTTTACCTAGACAAGTAAACTGAGCATAGGTCTGTCAGTGGTCATTAGTAATGAAAACTGCTCAGACACAGTGGAGAGCCAGCTCCCTGCTTGCGGTCTTCCTAGGGGCATCTGATTGGCCACACTCAGAAATGGGATGCTGAACTAGATGGATATTTGACCTGACCCAATAGGACTCTTCTTATATACTTTCTAGCTTTTCTTTCCTATTCCAGTAAACATATTTTCCTTCCAAGGCTCCAAGGTTGAATATGATTGCAGTACTTCATTAAAGATTAAACGGAGACCAGGTTTTCCTCTCCATCTACAAGTACCATAGCAAAAGAAGGAAGGTGGAGTTGTCTATCCACAGTTACTACTGGTATGGACAGTTATTATATACTTTTAAGCTTTGCACAGGAATGCCAGAGTGTACCTCTTTGTCTTTTGTGACTTTTTGGCCCCTCTTCATATTTCTGACCCCTCTGTGGGTGCTTCCAGACTGTCGCTAAAACGAAATTCAATCATAAACCAGTAAATTCAGGTTGTGTATTTATAGCTGAATGAGAGGTCTTGTGCAGCCTCTTTGAGTCCAATCCCTCCACCTTTTCTTTCCAGTAAGGTGAAAGGGAAACGTACTGGAAAGTGTGAAAAAACAAACGTACTGGAAAGTGTGAAAATTCCCCAGTTTAGCTCATCCACATCGCACCAGGCTCACCCAGCCCTGCCCTTGGCAAAGGTCCACGTGGGTCCACTGTCCATACCAGTAGTGAACACTTGTTTATGCGCCATGGTCATCCAACCTCTCCTCCATCTAACTTCCCTGCAAACAAATCGGGATGAATGTCCAAAAGCTGGTCTGGCAAGTCCACACAGAGGATAATTCTGAAGATGATTCATTTGAAGAAGTGGGTTCCAGTCCACGAAAGTGCATGTCACAATAAACTTGTTGTGCGGCACGGGTTGTGGGGGGGTCAGTAATGGGAAAAGACCCCCCCTTTTCACCTGGCCAGCGCTTCTGTGTCTTAATAGTTTCGTGACAAGCAGATAAAGGTTCCCCCACCTCCCTTTCCGGACAAGAAAGTGAAATGATGAAAAAGACTGAGTGGTTTCTTCCTTCCGTGCAGACCGAGCCCTTGTCAGCCAGGAAGAAAAGCGGCAAAAGAGACACGACACAACTGGAGGAGGGGCGCTACAATTTTCAAGAAGTCGGGCCCCTCCCAAATGAGCCACCCTTCCCCAACTCCGTTCTTCGGGGCAACTGGCCAGCCACGCGCTCTCTGGTCCCACCCACGTGGACCTTTGCCAAGGGCAGGGCTGGGTGAGCCTGGTGCGATGTGGATGAGCTAAACTGGGGAATTTTGTGTGTTTTTTTAATCCAAGGAGGGGGCGAAGAGAGGAAACTTCAGGAGCAACAAGAGCAGCAGGAAGCTGCCTCCGTCCTAGACCCTCCATCAGCACCTCCAGGTACCTATCCGGCTCAGGGGGAAAGTTGGGTGCCAAAACTCCTGGGTTCTCGAGGGAGAATTTGGGAAACGAGACCTGGGGAAAGCGGGGGGGGGGATTAAAGCAGGGTGCTAGGCAGGATCCCATAATATTCCCGTTTGGGGGTGGGAAGAGAGATCGAGAGATCTTGCCAGTTAGGCTCGGAAGAGCTGACAGCCAGATTTTTATTTATTTTTAGGGAATAGAAAGGGATTTGTGAGAATTGAACGGGAGAGGCATCAATTTGACGCCTGGGGCTGGGGCTGGGGGGGAGGAGAAGAAGCCTTAGCAAACCACTCCCCTCTGTCAGATTGCCAGCCCCTCCCTCTGCTCTAACCCTCTGGACCCCGCGTCCTCTCCCCAAAACCCTCTCTTTTTCGCCCGCTCGTCGCTATGATCCATTTCCTTCCCCGAGAGAATTCAGGGAGCCTTCCTTCGGACACACGACCCGATCGCTCCAAGCTCCCTTAGCAGCGCTTTTTAGATGGAGTCCGATCAATACATTGCTTAGGCCGATACACGAAGGTCGTTGTAGAAGGCAAATTTTGCAAATGGAGGGTAGCCCCCCCCCCAATAAATCTCACCCAGCTCCACCTCCTGAAACGTCCACGTTTTAGCCAACTCACGGCGCACCGCAAAAGGGTAGCTGCGAAACTTAAAACAAAAACCGAGGGGGCGGCGTTCCCTCCCCCCCCCCCCCATTGAGACTCCTGCCTGCCTAGAATAACAAGGTACTTGAGGTGTTGGAAATCAGGGAACCTCTCAGATCCCCAGATGCTGCCCCTTCTCCAATGTAGCGGGTATTGCATTTTGGGATAATGTGATACCTTATGGGGGTGCGTGCTTCTTCCAAAATGGATTTCCTAGCATCCTATATACTTCAGTTATTTACCCTAAGCTCAACAGACTCTGCTACTACAGCTGATAAAACCCAGCCTAGGTTTCTAAAGGGCCTTTTCATGTATGAGGTTTAAGATTAAACGGGATGGTGATAATGGAAAAGCAAATGCTGTTGTTGGTCTCTCTTCTAGTTTTTATCCCCCATTTGCAATTTTCATGTGCAGCAGAAATGAGATGCTGAAATGCCTTTAATTGTGTGAAAATTACCCCAGGCCTAAAACTGATGGAGATATACATTCCTAAAAGATATATATCTAGGACGATGATTTTGTTTTTTTGTTTTGTTTAAAGTATTTTGCATCTGTTTATAAACTAGACTAAGGCCGCAATCCTAATCAAGACTACTCAGAAGTAAGTCCTGCTGAATTCATTGGGACTTATTCCCAGGCAAGTGGGACTATGATGCTGCAGTCCTGTGCACATTTGGAAGTCAGTCTCACTGAAGACTTACCCTGCTGAGTAAAGTTATGCAGGATTGTGCTGTACTCCTAAACAACTTTTCTTGGATTCAGCCCCATCAAACTCAGTGGCGCTTGCTTCTGAATGTGCATACTTAGGACTGTATTATATTGTGCCCTCCCCATTTTGTGAATTCTAATATGTTTTTTACACCCTTGTAAAAATGCTTGTTTATTGTTAACATTGTTTTTAGTATCCTCACAGAAAAACGAAGTAAGTTATTCTAAAGAGCTCTTCTGTGATCAAGCAGTTTAAGTTGCCTATCCATGCATTCTGACCTCTCTGCCTAGGAGCCAGATGTTAATTGCCTGTGTCAGAAAATTTTAGTGACATATGTGTATGTGTGTTGGCAGTGTTCAAAAGAGGAGTGCCTTTTCAATCTGGAATGAGTCATTTGCAAATGTTATTCATAGGAAACAAAAAGCAGAAGAGAACGTTTTTTTCTTTAAAAAAAACCCCAAATATAAATTCGAGTCCATGTAGCTTTCGTATTCAGTTCACAGATTAAGGGCATGCACACACAATTTAAAAAGTTGGGCGAAGCTAGCATAATTTCACAGTTTTGTAGAGGAAGCAGAATAGCGTGAAAACCTAGTCATGTGGTGCATGGTAAGATACCCAGATAGCAGAGAAACAGATCAACCCAAGCAGATACCAAAAGCCCTGTCTCTCACAGCTAGCATACCTTCTCCACCCTATGAGCATGGCACTGCAAGTTGCTTTGAGTTTACATTTTAGTAAAAAAAGAGCAACTAATAAGTGCAATACATAATAATAAATACCAGTAATAATAGGAGCCACTTATCCTTCTATGTATTATTATCCTAAAATAAAATGAAAAGGGTTCTTTTTCTGCCTTTTTTGTAAGGCAGGCACTGGATTCCTTATTTTTCAAAGCTAGGAATGGCCTTAAGTTGGCTGCTGTGGGAAAATTCAGAGGTATGCAGTGGCGTAGCTAGCCGCTCGGGTGCCTGGGGTGACGCACACCCCATTTGCGCTATCAATTTGATGCAGTGTTATTCTACTTCAGGGACGCGGGTGGCGCTGTGGGTAAAACCTCAGTGCCTAGGACTTGCCGATCACATGGTTGGCGGTTCGAATCCCCGCGGCGGGGTGAGCTCCCGTCTCTCGGTCCCAGCTCCTGCCCACCTAGCAGTTCGAAAGCACCCTTAAGTGCAAGTAGATAAATAGGTACCACTTTATAGCGGGAAGGTAAACGGCGTTTCCGTGTGCTGCGCTGGTGCCGGCTCGCCAGAGCAGCTTCGTCACGCTGGCCACGTGACCCGGAAGTGTCTCCGGACAGCGCTGGTCCCCGGCCTCTTAAGTGAGATGGGCGCACAACCCTAGAGTCGGACACGACTGGCCCGTACGGGCAGGGGTACCTTTACCTTTACCTTTTATTCTACTTCAAACAGTTATGGCTTCCCCTGAAGAATCCTGGAGACAGTAGCTTGTTAAGGGTGATGAGAGTTCTTAGGAGATCCCTATTCCCCTCACAAAACTACAATTCTCAGCATGGTTTAACAACCCAATGCCCTCTTCCCATGGAACTCTGGGAATTGTAGCTCTCCTAACAAGCACTCTTAACAAACTACAGCTCTTTTGTGGGACTCCTTGTGGGAAGCTGTGACTCTTTAAAGTGCTACTGCTTCAAATGAGAGCATTGAAGTTTAACAAGGAACTAGGAGCTAGAATCTGTTAAGTTTTCTGCAATGGGATCTTTTTGGAGACAGATGAAAGACCAGGAGGCAGAATTTGTGGGTCCGGAAGGAGAATGGACTGGGCTTAATTTGAGCCAGGATTCAGTCCAAGCACTTGTTTTCAGTACCAGGCCATGATATAGGACTTCAATACTTTACAGTGGGGTGGGAGGGAGGGATGTGTGTATCAGACTTGGAGGCCAAAGCTCACCTTCCAGACCTCTCTATCTTGTCCCTGTGACTTTACCTAGATCACACCCTCTTACCTCAGGCCACACCCTCTCACCAACGTTGCTTCACATCCCTCTTGAGAGTTTTTGTCTGGCTGGAATGTGTCATTGAGCTCTGATAATGCCTCCTGCTTGCCTAGGTGGAGGTTGGAGCAGGGTGTGAGGGTCAGTGTAGAAAGTAGCTTAATGTACACAGGTAAAATTTACATGAATTGCTCAGCCACTTTTGCTTCTGGTTCCACGTGGCACTGGCATGTGGTCCCCAGAAAAGAATGTGGCCTGGCGGCTGAGAAAGTTCTGTTTTATAGGTTAAGCCACTCTAGGGATTGTAGCTCCATGTGGGTCTCCTAACAACTCACAGCACCCTTAGCAAACCAAAGTCCCCAGGATTCTTTGGGGGAAGCTGTGACTGTTTAAGGTGGTATGATCTTGCCTTAAAAGTCAATTTAAGAAATTAACTACTGAGAAAATGTAGTCAGAAACTGTAGGTTTGTTGCTGCTGCTGGCTTATATTATTATTATTATTAAAAAAAACCCAACCTCATGTTTGCAACTTCCTTTTGCCTTTCTTGCTGCTCTGCAGTTTCTGATGTCATACCATCAGGATTCCCTCGCTGCTATTTGAAAGGCAGGGCCCCTTGGTGGGACTGAAGGAGGCGGCAGCGACACAGCCAGGCTGTTGCTACCTCCACCCCTGGCGTGCCCAGGGCTCACATGACTCTGCAACATCTGGATCACATTAGGGCAAAGCCTAAAGCCACAGGAATGTGAGCTGGGTGGATGAGCCCAGCTCCTTGTTTCTCTGGGCTGGAGGGGGCTGGGAAATACGGCGTGTCCAAGGAGGGGCTCGGAGCTCTAGATATCCCCAGACAGACCCAATGAGGTGTGGGTAACAGCTAGACAGAAATGTACAAGATGTGCTTAGAAGCTGGGGCTTGCGATTCCTCTGGGAGTGATGCAGTGGGTGAGAATAGTGGGCCTGAGCCTCAGGACTCCTCCTGGCTTCTCTAAGTGGGTTGTGGCAGGGGAGACAGGCCTGCTGCGAGTCAAAGACTTTGGGGGAATGGGATCTACTCCTTTGAGCGGGGGAGGGAGTTAGAATGGGAAACCAGGGGCCCTTACATTCCGGAGAAGGAACAGAGTGGTGTCTAGTTGCTCAGGCTGGAGCTGGAAAGATTTCTGAGTGAAGAAGGTTGGAGGTCTGGAGTTGGAAACTCTGCTAAGATTTAATCAGATTTTGGACACCCTCACCTATCTCTAATATTAAGTGCGGAAAACAGGTTGTTTTCGTTTTGCAAGGGTTTGTTTAATGCTGCCCACCCTTCTCTCCCCAGCTTCCAGCTGCCAAGATGAGTTTCCTTCTCTTCGCAGTCACTGCCCTCCACGTCCTCATTCTCATCTTACTCTTCGTCGCCACGTTGGACAAGGTGAGAGAATGCAGAAGCTGGTCCATCTTGTTTTCCTCCTCTGTTTTAGGTTTGTTCAGCTGGTAGCCTGTTGTGAGCCATATCTGGCCCTCGGAAGCAACTTTTTATTGGTCCCGTGCCTCAGTGGGCATACCAATCTTTAATCCAGGTGTGGTAAACAATTTCATTCACCCTGGAAGCAACCAATCTCTCTGTGTGCCTCTCATGTGATTCTTACTACATTGTTCTTGCGCGCTGCCTATCCAGGGAGATCTTTCATAAAGCCCATACTGCTAGGCAGTGCTGAATTTATTATTACGGAGCTCACCAGCTGTGAGGGACCCTGGAGCTGGTCTGGAGAACAGAGAAGCCCCGACTGAAAGTGTTGATGCCGGCTATCTCTTCCTGCTCTGGATACCAAATTCTCCAAGGGCCCAGACCAGCCCTTAGACTTCTCCATAGTCCTCCCCTGCCCCAACCTCACCAAAAAGGACAGTCAGTTTCTGAAGGTGCTAAAGGAAATTGTTGATTTAATGAAGCTCCCCAACTTATTGCATAGTAGCATGTTTCATGGGACACGGGTGGCGCTGTGGGTTAAACCACAGAGCCTAGGACTTGCCGATCAGAAGGTCGGCGGTTCGAATCCCCGCGACAGGGTGAGCTCCCGTTGCTCGGTCCCTGCTCCTGCCAACCTAGCAGTTCGAAAGCACGTCAAAGTGCAAGTAGATAAATAGGATAAATAGGTACCCCTCCGGCGGGAAGGTAAACGACATTTCCGTGTGCTGCTCTGGTTCGCCAGAAGCGGCTTAGACATGACCCGGAAGCTGTACGCCAGCTCCCTCAACCAATAAAGCGAGATGAGCGTCGCAACCCCAGAGTCGGTCATGACTGGACCTAATGGTCATGTTTACCTAGCATGTTTCAAGTACATGGAACCCATCAGAGGGTTGTAGGCCACCCAGAGTGGCTGGTGAAACCCAGCCAGATGGGTGGGGTATAACTAATAACCGTATTATTATTATTATTATTATTATTGGTTATCACATCCCTCCTGAATGAGGCATTTAATCTTTGGGAACATAAAGTTAATTTATTGCAGAGGATAGCTTTCTTTAGAATGGGATTTCTGCCTTTGACATGGCATATAATAGGCTGCAATCCCAACCCCACTGACCTGCAGGCAGTGCTTTTTTCTGGGGGGACGCAGGGGCACGCATACCCCTAAACATTTTGTGAATCTAAGTTTAGCCTCATTGAGGGGCAGTACTTCAATATGAGAAGGAAAATGAGACCACCCCTAAACATTTTTTTTTTAAAGCACTGCTTACAGGTATGCTTCACTGAATATAATAGGATTTACTTTTGAGTAGACATGGTTAGGCCTGTGCTGCTAGGTGAGAAATTGGAGCCAATTTTCTTTAGTACTTTTTGTGCTTTGCCTCCTTTATTTTGATGTCAATATTGATTTTTATTTTTATTTTTGGTTCTGTACTGCTTTATTCTGGTCCCTGGAGACAAAAAAAAAAGGAAAGGAAAGAAGAGTCCTAATTTTATTTTGGTGTGTCTTAATTTGGCAGCTGTAGCCTTGGAATATTTTTGACACTTCTACTCCTGACTCAAGGTGTTTTGTTAACTTTTTAAACTGATAATTGTGCTAGAGCCTGCATCTTCAGCCAGTGTTGGGGGTGGATACACAATTTATTCACCAACCATGTCTGTGTGTACTTCATTGTCTTCGTTAAGCCCTGACATGTGTTTCCCTGAGATGACAGCTTATTGAAAATTAAAATGGAATGGCACATCCATTAACATAAGTTATGGGCTGTACTGTAAGTGTGGATGTTTCTTCTGCTTTGCACAGACTATTTACATTTGTCATCATTCTTTTATTTGTGCAAATAATTCAGATTTGATGCCATACAATACTCACCTTACAAAAAAAAGGAACAATTAAATCTCAGACCTTGTGTAGTTGAATCCCCAGGTTTTTATGGTGTATCTGGGGGTGAAACAACACATTATGAGGCTAACTTTGCATTTGCTTCATCATTGGAGTCAGGGGTTTTTTCAAGGGAGAATCTGTAGGTTAGATTCCTAACCATTCCCCAATCTGTCCACTCTCCCCTGCAGCTGCCCCCCCCACTCCCTCGCCTTAGAAAATAAGGTCCTGCTGGGGTGGGAAAGAGAAGCAAAGATAAATTATGGAGGAGAATCAGTGAATGAGAGAACAGATATAAATGCTTCCCCTCCCACGCACTCATTTTCCTTGCCCCACTTCTACATTACGTTTAAATAGAAAGCATGGGTTTGCAATCATACATATATATTTATTTATTATATATGCAGTGTAGCTTATTAGGACGTCTCAGGCAAGCCACCCTCTCTCAAACTCAGTTCCCAATCTGCAGTAGGGGGATAATAATGCACAGTAAAGAAGGGCAGTACCATTAGCTCTGGGAATTTAGGCACAGTGAGTTACTGACCCCATAATACAGTGAAGCCTGCAGCCTCTCCACTCCTGCTCTTCCTGTATTAGGAGCCCTGGCAGTGAGTTGTACAGGAAACTGTTTAATAAACCACATACCTTTCCAATACCTATGTAGAACCCAAATTCTCAAGGCTCAGCAAGCAACGCAAGCCCCCGGTTATTCATGATGGTGCAGTACAGTGGAACCTCATGTTATGTACCATCCTCCTTGCGAACGCTTTGGGTTACGAGCTCCGCTAACCTGGAAGTAGATGCTCCAGGTTGCAAACTTTGCCCCAGGATGCAAGCAGAAGTCGCGCACTGGCAGGGCAGCAGCTGCGGGAGGCACCATTAGCGAAAGCGCGCCTCATGTTATGAATGGTTTCGGCTTGAGAACGGACCTCCGCAACAAATTAAGTTCGTAACCAGAGGTACCACTCTATAGCGGTGAAGAGACTTAAGATAGTCTCCAGTTCTGCTCCCACCTCTGCCATGCTCATTAAGATGAGTTTAAACCTCTACTCTCTTCCACACTCCCTAGCTTTGACTCCCTCCCACAACTACAAAATGGGGATAATAGCATTGACTTACCTTATAAGGTTGTAGCCCTTTACTGGACTACAACTCCCAGCATCCCTATCAGCAGGGCAGGGGCTGATGGGACTTGGAGTCCAACAACATGTGGATAGCCACCGGTCAGCCACCTCTGCTGTAAAGATTGCAAACAACAGTGTCTATGAAGTGCTATAAACATAGTGCTATATCAGCCCTGTGTGTGTTTACTATTAATTGGTTCACCCATGAAAATGTACTATATGAATGAAACAAACACTTCCTTGGAAACACACATTCATACAGATACCCTTGAGTGCCATGATTAATGCTAGTTCCCGCTTATGTGGTCCCAAATGCATGTTTGTTGCTATGTTAGGTGTGGAAAGGCCTTGAGAAAGCCATTACCTTGGTGCTTATAACGTTCAAGTTTGCTCTCAAAAGTAAACTCCCTTTGAACTTTGAAAACTAGTCTTCCAAGCATGTCCAGTAATGTTATCAGCCCAATGGCCACACTGACCTGTGCAAGCCATTTGTGGTGGGAAATAACAGGCTTTTCTAAAGTTTTGCTGACTGCTTGGTTGGAGTCAGTTCTTACTTGGCTTCCCCGATGGAAAAGCTCAGCCAGCCAGCCAGCCAGCCCTCCTTGGAGGCCAGCTTCTAAAATCTCCGTTGTAATTCTCTTCCAGTCTTGGTGGGTCCTGCCCGACAAGGAAACCGTGAACATCTGGTATGAGTGCACACTTAATAACCACACCAACACCTGGGCCTGCAAAACAGTCGCTGACAGTGGTGAGTACAGCAAAGGCTATTGCACACCATATTACCGGTAACTGCTGCTTCTCTACTGCATGTATAGTCTCCTCCTCTCTCACCACCCCACACTTATCTTTCCCCGACAGCATGGCTTCAAGCAGTCCAAGCCTTCATGGTTTTAAGTCTTCTCTTCTCCAGCTTAGCCTTCATTATCTTCATGTGCCAACTCTACACCATGAAGCGGGGAAGCCTGTTCTACGCCACTGGGATCTTCCAGATACTTACATGTAAGTATGGTGTGGTGATTTGCTGTTTAGAGACCAGTTTAATTAGCTTGCGGCGAGAAGTAAATTTCACGGGGAGAGACGCAGCATAGGAGCCAGAAAGGAAGCAATACTTTGGATGGGGAGAAGTATGAGTGCAGCCCGGGGTAAAGTAGTGTGATGGGGGGGGGCATGTTTATGTGTAGGAGCTGCTCTTGTGAGGAAGTAGTGAGGACATGTAGGAGGAAGAGCCATGCAAGTATACCATAAGACCCAGCAACACCAAATTGTTAAGTATACTACCACTTTTGGGGTAATGCTACTGGATAAATCTGAAATACAGTATGTTATAGTTCTCTTCTCTTTGATGTTATCATAAAATATGCTGAGATGCAAAGTGCAGATTCCAATATGGATGCCGGTGAGATTTATGCCCTGGGATCTCATTGTCACATTGCAAAGGGATTGTACATTTAAAGCGCATGACTTTAATCTATGGTTTACATCTCAAAGAGCTACAATTCCCAGCACCCTTAACTATAGTTCGCAGGATTCTTTGGGGGGAAGCCAGGAGCTTTAAATACCTGGTGAAGATGTGAGCATTGAATGCAGCTTTAGGCAGTAAGATGTAGCTAACAGGGATCCGGTGCTAATTGTCTGCTTGGATCTGTTTCCAGCTATCTCCGTGTTCACAGCTGCCGTGATCTACACCACCCACGTGGAACAGTTCCAGGGTCGCCGACCACCGGGTGGGTCTTTTGGTTACTGTTTTGTGCTGGCGTGGCTGTCCTTTCCTTTGGCTCTCATCAGTGGAATCATTTACATCCACCTTCGGAAAAAGGAGTGACCATCAACTGGATGATCTCTTCCATTTGCCTTGGAAGGAGCCCTGTTCTCCTCTGAATTTAGCTATGTATTAACTCTTTGCAGTTTTCAAAGGCAGTTATAGTACAAAATCCTATGCGATACATGGATTGGTCCACTGGGGTTCTGCATTGTGAGTGTATCACCCCTTGTTTGCATGTTATCAGGTACTTCCACATAATACAGCAAGTTTAAGGGGTGTCATCTTGCATTTGGCATTTCCCAGGGCTCTAATATTTTTCAGATTTGGCAAAAATGGAAATACACATTAAAACTCAAACTTGCAAACATTTCTAGCATTCTTTTTTCCTTTTAATCCCCATTTTTAAAAATGGAGGGTTGAATATGTTTCTTGTGGGTTTTTTAAAATAAATAAAAAAATCAGTGTTCTTTCCACATTTGCAGCTTGGAAGCTAAAATATCAAACATTGGGGTGGGACCCTAATAAATTCATTGAAAGAACTGAAACCACAAAAATCGTAGAAAGTAGGACTCAATCACGTTGTCCATACAGAACTGTTTGTCATGAATTGAAAAATCTGCAACTCTCTCTTGTTTCTTAACTGCTGGGACATTATGCACAGAGCCTGATGATAGCAGAGTTTGAAATAGGTCATTGAGATCACCACGAAAAATGAATTTCATCTTCTGAATTTCAACCATGAAACATAAGGGCATTTTTGCATGTGATGTTAAATCATGTATTTTTAGGTTTTCACCTAAGACATTTTAAGCGACAGCCTAAAAATGCGAGGTGTGATTTGGACAAAACCATTTGCTAATACTTGCAAAATACCTGTCCACTGTTCAGGGAGTCACAAGTGATTATAACTCCCCCTTGAGTCAACCTTCAGTAACAAACCCCCATTTTTCTGCAGAATGTGTTAAAATGACCCTGGTGAGAACTCAGATAGCATCACTTTCCTCTTCCCCTCCAGCCAGTAACTACCAGTCTGAGGTTATACTCTGTACTTTCCCCCAAAACAGCATAGGGTGGGCGATCTAAGCTAATCATATCCACCATACTTCTAAAGCTGGGAGGATTAATCCTGCCTTCTTGCCCCATAGCAATTACGCACAAAATATTTGGAAAACATGGGAAAGATTTTGCTTCTCCAGTAGCCTTACCAAGCAGCCTGCTTGCAAGTTATTAAAAACGGGTTCCTTCCAATGCTATTTCTGTAACAGTATTATATATGTGCTGGCTCCCCCAAAGTCCCCTTTCACCTTCTTGACCTGGCCTTTTAATATTTTATACGCATTTTAAGAATAAAAGAAAACCTAATAAACAAAATTCAGCAGAGCCATGTGTTCCTTTGCGGACTACAGTGTTTCACATTCTTGTCTCACATTCCCGCAGTCTTCACAAGGAAACTTTCCTTTGGCGAACAGAATACTGAAGACTTAGAGTATCTTTTCTAATAATCTGTTTATTTACAAACAGTGCAGGCTGAGTGGATGAGAGTGCAGAAGCAAACATGCTGTTCCAAATCCACAACACCCGACATCATTAAAAAGCTTTCCTCCTTGCAGAAATGCTTGTGGCACCTCTTCCAGCCAACTCCGGACTGCTGTTATTTATTCATTCAGTCCCTCCTTGCCCAGACTCTCTGCATTCTGACTGAGCAAACTTGTTTTTATTGCATTTCAATCTCCCTTTCACAGAAGCTTCCTTCTCCACCCATGTCATTCTCAAAACAACCTATGATATCAGTAAGGCTGGAAATGATGTGCCAAGGACACTCAGGGATCTGCATGGCCGAGTGGAGACTATGGTTGGAATGCAGCAAAGTTTTACTCAGAGTAGACTCAGTGAAATTAACGAACTTGGCCAAGTTGCATCATTCACTTCAGTGGCTCTGCCCTGAGTAAAACTTAGTTGAATGTAAGATCCTACGAAGCTTGTGCTCGCTGGTCCTGATCTGCCAGCAACCCCACCCCACCTGTTCTCTAGGTCCAGCTGGTTTCCATCCTCACTGTGCACTTGGGCTGAGATAAAAGTGCAGCTTAATGCCTGCCAAGAGCACTAATATACCATCTGGTGGTGCAGAGATCTGGGCACGTGAACCAATAAATATTTAACCTAATTGAAATCTGAATGTTTAACTATCCACCAGCCACCCTAAAGCTTGTCTTTTTACAAGAGTAGAAGCAAGGGAATGCAGCTAGAAAAAGGCAGCCGACACCACGGCGGGTGGGAGCAAGCTAATACCGTAGAACAGGTGTTGCTAAACTACAACTTCCACTAGCCCCAGCAAGTCAGTGGCCAGGGATGGAAGCTGTAGTTCAGCAATGCCTAGAGCAGTGTTTCCCAACCTTGTGCCTCCAGCTGTTTTTGGACTACAACTCCCATCATCCCTAGCTAGCAAGACCAGTGGTCAGGGATGATGGGAATTGTAGTTCAAAAACAGCTGGAGGCACAAGGTTGGGAAACACTGGCCTAGAGGGCCAAAGGTTCTCACACCTGGCTTAGAAGATGGTGGGCTCTGCTTTGTTACAAAGTTTTTAAGCAGAGGCTGGATGGCCACCTATCAGGGGTGCTGTAGTAGTGGATTTCCTGCATCAGCTGGAGCTGGGATTAGTTGACCTTTGATGTCCCTTCCGATTCTGGTTCTATGGGTCTGTCCTAAGTAGAGGAAACATAGCCACATCTCTCTCCCAAGTACAAAACACTGCTTTGTATCCATGGTTCATCTGACGCAGACGGTCAGCCTTTTCAAAGGCATGCTTCTAGTCAAGTTAGTCATGAAGGCAACTGGGAAACAAGCAGGCAACATTAAGGAGTAGGAGGGTGGTCCATTCTGGATTTTGCATACTCAGCGGGGATTCTCTGTTGGGGGGAAAGCGGGGAACTCTTAACAATATTCTGCTACCAGCCACAATGGCTGTGTTCTGCCTCCACTGTCAGAGGCATCATGCCTCTGCGTACCTGTTGCTCAGAATCACAGGTGGGCAGAGTGCTGTTGCACTCCTGCCCTGCTTACAGGCTTCCCAAAGGCACCTGGTTGATTGCTGTGGAAAGAGAATGATGAACTAGATAGGCCTTTGCCTGACGCAGCAGGTTCCTTAAACTGTATGGCTGAGATGATTACCATAACATGCAATCTGTCTGACCTGTAATCTTCCATTTTAATTAAAACAAATGTAGAAGTACATCAGGGGTGGGGAACTTGTGGCTTTCCAGATGTTGTCAGACTACAACTCCCTTCATCCCTGCCCTTCAGTCCTGCTGGCTGAGCCTGGTGGGAGTCTGCCAACATCTGGAGGTCCCCCATCCTTGAATTAGAGGCTGTGCAACTTCTAAAAAGATCCCATAGCCCAGGGATGGAGAAGATGCTTAACTTAGGGGAAATCAGACTCGGTACCCTGGAAAGGGGCAAGGCTGGGAAAGATCTCTGCCCAAGGCCAAGGAGTGCTGCTGCCAACCCATGTAAACAAAACTGGTCTAGATTGACCAATGAGCCGACTGCAACAAAGCAATGTCCTGTGTAGCCCCTTTATCAAGGAGACATCTTATTAGTTCCTCTCAAATATCATGTCAGGTTGTTGGTGTCTTAGATGAGGGGTTGGTAATCTGCAGCCTGCCCACCTCATTTCAGAAGTCCTCTACAAGCTGTGTGTCCATATCTGTCTAGTCTTCTGGCAACTGGCTGATTGGGGAAACAGGAAGAACATGGCTTCAGCCCTACCTCCTGCTAGTATGCTGCCTCCAGCTGATTAGCACCTCCAAAGGAATGTGGCCTTTGACAGGGGGAGCCCCTTCCCCGAAGGTTTTAGGTGGTACCTCCACCATTAGGCTAAGTGTAGGATCAGCAATCCTGTACATTGCTCAAGAAGCTGTATGGCTGCATCAGAACCTCTCCGGCAACTTTCTTCTTGAAGGAAACCTCAAGATAAGAGAGCTCAAGTAATTGTTTGTGGGGAGCCCTTGTCAGCAAGTGGCAGGATGCTAAACAATGAAGCAGGCTGTTTTATTGTGTCACTTGTGCTAGTTTTCTTTTTTAAAGCCATAATTGGCTTTTTCTAAGTTTATCACTGCTGAAAATGTGATTTATTGGAAACAGAATCTCCCCTCCACTAATCTGCCATAAAATATTCAATGAAGCCAAGAAAGTCACTCAGGGGGTGGTAGTTTCTCTGCCCCCCCCCCCAAAAAATATAGTGTGTCTGCCCCAATAAAGTGTCATTTGTCAGGAAGGGGAGCTGTGTGTTCATTGGTCCCATAGCAAAACCCAGCAGCATGAACATCTCCCACAGGCCACCTGCTCTAACAGCAGGCATCTCCCAACAGAGAACACACAAAAACCGTCATCGGGGGGCCATGATCACTGCCTAGGACTGCAGAGCTTCCTGTCTTGCTTGCTGCAGGAACAAATGGGTGCCTCACCATGATGTATCTGTTTGTTCTGTAATGTCCTAGGAGGAATTCAAGACAAAACAGTTGCTACTGAAAGAACGAGTTAATGGTAAAGTAGGAACTCATGGGATACAAGTGAGACACACAGCTACAGGGAGTCAAGGAAAGCCAGAAATAATGATGCCATCGTTCAATGAATGTTAAGGGTTTTCAAATACCTGGCTGTTATTTGCTCAGTCAAGTATCCAACTCCAGTGTGCAAAATATTATAAATAGGGATTGTTAAAGAGGGGCTCCTGGTGCCCCTATTGCGCACAGGATACTTTGAGGGTGTGGAGCTACAAGGAAGCTTTAGGGGATTGTGGGATGTTTCTAATGTATTTCTTTTCTCCTCTTAGTTTTAAGGCATCTGTGTGGGTGGGTGGGGTTGTCTGTCTTTAGGTTTGGATGTAAGGTGCTTTGGGTTGCCCTGGGCAAGAAAAAGCAACTAGCAAATTTAATAATAATAATATACATCCAAGCATAGCTAACCACTGCCCTCCTGGCTGTTCAGTTCAGTGAAGTTACTTTAGGACCAAGCAGTGCAAAATAAAACAGAATAAAAAGTAGGAGAAAACTTGTCAATATGGGAAAATATTTTTTTATTGCGCCAAAGATACAGACATTCATGCAGTTTCCCCTGAGCCACAAAGACTTCCAACATGGGTGGAGGGTTAAACAAAAACAAAAAACAAAACCCAACCACTGCTATTTTAAGACTAAGAGCTCACTTTGGGCACGAGAAGCTCAGAATAAGCTGTTGTTAGAGGGCCTTCTCACACCACTACACACACCTGTAGGTAAGAGTGCTGTTTAGACATGTTACAAGAAACAAAAACTTCAGGTAGCACTTCTCTTGGGGAAGGGAAGAAATAAAAAGTGAAAATCTGGGCAATGCTACCATGTAAAATATCACAGAGGCATTGCTCTGTTGTAGACTGTGAAACAGCAGACCAGTGTCCACAAATAGCCTTCACTTGGCTCCTATTCGCACCAAGTTCTCTGTCTGAGGTTTGGCTGGCAGGTGCTGCTTCAAATACAGCATCATGGCTGATGGGAGACTGCACGGCTGGAACATGCACACCATAAAAAAGGACAGAGGACCTCTCAGGGGGGCCAGCTGGCCCCCAGTCTAACACAACAAACAGTGAACAATATCACATCTGCTCAGTTACAAGGGCATTCATTAGGGTGAAGTCGTTCCCCCCCAAGAACATACATACACTGAACACACATGCACTGTTTAGAGATGGAGGCAGCAGAAGTCAAGTACCCTCCATGAGGGTAGAATTAAGACCTTATTGCATGCATCAAAAGGAGGTAGCAGATGCCTCAACTTCAAAATCCATCAGCAACAGCCCTCCTAATAATTCCTACTACTTGTGCAAGTTTCTGAACTCCAAACCTCAACTGTAGACTGATGACCAATTGACAACCAGAAAACAAAAGACAGCGTGGTTCAGTGAGTACAATACTGGAACTTAAAAACCACATAGGAGCTCATTCATTAACTCAGAGAGTAAATTTGTTCCAAGGCATCAAATCTGTTCTCAGTACAGCGGCCTGAAGCTGGAACATCTGGGGGCAATAATATGGAGAAGTGCCTCTAGAAACGTGCCGAGTGCCCTTCCCTAACAAGTCAAAGCACTGCATGAACTTACTGAGTTGTCCAAGACCATGCAGTGTGTGTGTCGTCTCAACCTCCGTGGTCTCTATAAAACAGGCAACACAAAAACGAAGTGCGTAGTACTCTTCAAATTCCTCGTAAGCGTATACTGTGAATTTCAAAGTGCTATAGAAATGATTTAATACGTTTTTTTAAAGCCCCCAAGCAGCAGAGCAAAGGAATATTTCTAAAACCCCATCTTGCCCTAAACGCAAGCAATTCATTGCTTTATGCCATTCTCATTTCAAATGTAAACAGCCCTGCAAGGAACTTCGCCCCCACATTCCTCAGATACAAGAAAAAACAGGCAGCTCCCCCCCCAAAAGGCAGCAGCATATAATAAAAGTGTTTTTGCAAAAACAGGGACACCTTTAAAAACAAGCTTCCCCCCACAAGCCTTCCAAATAGTTGAATCTGAGGTGTAACATGCCCCCCTTGTAATGAGGTTGAATGTTGTATGATATTTACACCTCTTATGGTGTCACATTCTTGAGTTTCCTCCCAACATGGATTCCTGGAGGAACATACACATCCAGGGGAGATGCAGCAGTCGTAGAAGCAGAAACCCCGAGGTTTCTGGGCAGCATCGACAACTGCAGCCCTGGGCACTGCTCCCATAATGCCCCGGGAAGGCAAGAATCCCCCTGCCTGTGCCTTCAAAGCCTCACATGCTCAGTGTTAGGGGCCTCAGCAGGAGGCCTGACCACTAAGAACCAAAGGTGCGGAACAGAACAATCCTAGGAAGCTCCTAACCCGTCACAGGATGGGTCCCCGTTGCAGGAGAGTCCCCTGCCCCAACTCCCAGTTCCCTGAGATGCCTGCAGGCACGGTCGGCACAGAAGGTTACATCCAGACCAGAGTGGAGGTGCAGCCAAGCCTGAACCTCTTCCTTCATGTGTTCAATGGTTTTGGAGTCTGGGGGACAGAGAGAGAGAGAAAGAAAGAGAGGTCAGAGAACCTTCCACAAGCTCAAACCCGTTCCAGGGGATGGCTTCGTTTTTCATTGCTTCAGCCCTTCCCCATCCCAAAGAACCAAGGCCAGGCAAATACCTATGTCCAGGGGGTGATAGTGCTGGTGCAGCTGGAGGAGGAAACTGTGTGCCAAGATGACCTCCTTGGCATGTTCTTCCTGGGCACGCAGAACAAGGGCATCCAGTAGCTCAGAGTTGTTGGATGTGCTGCGGTAATACAGCATGTGCACCAGCTCAAGGGAGTGGATATTCCGGCGCTGGCCAAAGACCTTTAACGAGAAGAAAGCAGGGGTGTCCACAGGAAGTAAGGCTGCTAAGAACAGCCCTCCTGGATTTGGCCAATGGCCCATCAAGCCCAGTATCCTGTTCTCAAAGCGGCCACGCAAGTGCCTGTCAGAATCCTACAAGCAGGAGCTGAGTACAAGAGCCCTTGCCCCCTTGCAGTTTCCAGCAACTGGTATTCAGCATAGCCATCACAGGTAGTAGCCACTGCTATCCCTATCCATTAATTTTGTCTAATCGTCTTTTAAAGCCATTCAAGTTGGTGGTGATCACTGCCTCCTATGGGAGCGAGTCCTAGGGAGCGAGTGCTAGGGAATCGCAATTCCCTTTAAGTGGACAAGTTGGGATTCAGGCCTCCTGGGTTTACAGCCACAGTTGCTGCAGTGCTTTTGAGCAAGGCTGACACGTATTGCGATTCCCTAGCAAAGTGTCCATCAATAGGAGGGACAGGGCGTGAGAGGAGGAAGGAGGACTTGTAGATTGAAAGTACTCATATGGGGAGATTAGTGCATTTAGAGGTGTGTATTACAGGTTTTGTCCTGAAGGTAAGGGTATCTTTAAGTGCATCTTCAATGGGTAATCCCCCAACTACCCCACACAATGGAATAAATGGTAGATACTTCTATTTGAGAAAATGACAGGGTGCGTACATAGGCGCCGACTCCATGGGGCTTGAGGGGGCCCGAGCCCCCTCAAAAATTCGTTTGGGGGGCTCTGCCCCCCCAATAATCTCCGGCGCCCCTCCAGCAGAGCGCCATCGCCGCCCCTCCCCCAGCCCAAAATGCACAGGGAGGGGAGGGCTGCATGCCTCCTGCCCTCCCTCCCGAGCAAAAGCTCCACCCAATTTCCTTTGGAGCTGATTAATAGGCGCAGCACGCTCTCCCCTATTCGCTCACGAGGAGGCGGCGCCACTTTATTTGCATATTCATGAGCTTATTTATTATTCATGAGCTTTCCCGGGCCCCCCCAATATTTTTTATAAGTCCGCGTCCCTGGGTGCGTATGACCACGTGGGCCTCTTTTGTCCAGAAAAACCAGACAATTGTTCCAATCTGTCTACCTGACAGCAGCTCTCTGGAATCTCAAGGAGAGATCTTCATCATAACAGTCAAATTATGAGAAGTAATAATTATGTTTGGCTTACTGGCTTTGTGACCCATAGATTGGGAAATGCTGCCCTAAAACAGTGGCAGAAACCTCCAGATCTTGCTGGACTACAGACTCCGCTATTTTATTTTTATTTTAATCCCTGGCCATTGACCATGCTGATGGTTGGACTCCAACTCCCATCAGCCCCAACGTCGGAACTGTCCCCTCCTTCCTTAAAGGCTATGTTACCAAAGGTCACATGGCTGGCAATCTGTTTTAAGAGGCAGGGCCAGTTTTCTAGAAATAGCGGCGGCAGCATCATGCATACCTTCCAAGCCCGGAAGGCCATAAAGGCAGCGAAGAAAAGCAGCAGGGAGGTGGTGCCGATCTTCAGGTCAGAAAGCACCACCATGCCCACGTTGACGAAGAAGGCCAAGCCGCTCACTATCAGCATGCCGTTGAGGAGGGCCCTGTAGAAGATGGAGGTGCGGACCTTGATCGCGGGCAGCAACTGCTCCAGGCCTTCCAGCGGAATGTCCTTAAAGCATTTAAGCATGAGGTGAGCATTCTTAATCCGGGCAGCCACCACCACCCGTTTGAAGTACTGTCTGGTTTGGGAGGAAAAGGGGCAAAAAATAAAAAAACCACAGAGGAAGGAAAGCATTTGCATTTTATTTATGGACAAATGAATAAAATATTTCTGTACCACTATATCAAAATATATCAAGGCAACATAAAAGATAATTCAATAAAAAATATAAGCAGATAATCATTAAGGTGACTTCCCCCCAGAATGTTAAAGGCGCTGAGAGATGTTAGGAGATACCCCACCAACCCCCCCCGAGGTACAGTTCTCAGAATCCTTTAAAAACTGGTCCCTCTTCCCAGGGAACTCTGGGAATTGTAGCTCTGCGAGGGGAGTCCTAACAACTCTTGGCACCCTTAACAAACGACAGTTCACAGGACTCTGAGAGAAGCCCTGACTGTTTAAAGTGGTATAAGGTAAAGGTAAAGGGACCCCTGACCATTAGGTCCAGTCGTGACCGACTCTGGGGTTGCGTGCTCATCTCGCTTTATTGGCCGAGGGAGCCGGCATTTGTCCGCAGACAGCTTCCGGGTTATGTGGCCAGCATGACTAAGCTGCTTCTGGTGAACCAGAGCAGCACACGGAAACGCCGTTTACCTTCCCGCTGGAGCGGTACCTATTTATCTACTTGCACTTTGTGCTTTCGAACTGCTAGGTTGGCAGGAGTTAAAAGTATAATACTGCTTTAAATGTACAGTGCAGATGGAAACTGAGGTACAATGTATAAGCACTCATCAAAACCCTGCAAATTTTACTCAGTACTGTATATTGTTGTACATATACAGTGGTGCCTCGCAAGACGAAAAGAATCCGTTCCGCGATTCTCTTCGTCTAGCGGTTTTTTCGTCTTACAAAGCAACCCCATTAGCGGCTAAGCGGATTAGCGCTATTAGCGGTTTAGCGGCTATTAAAGGATTAGTGGCTAAGCTGCTCAAAGGCTATTAACGGCTTAGCGGCTTAGAAAAAGGGGGGGAAGCGGGGGGGAAATGGCGAGACTCGCAAGACGTTTCCGTCTTGCAAAGCAAGCCCATAGGGAAATTCGTCTTGCGAAGCGCATCGCAAACGGAAAACCCTTTCGTCTAGCGGGTTTTCCGTCTTGCGAGGCATTCGTCTTGCGGGGCACCACTGTATCATTTAAAATTATAAAGTATTGAACAAGGACCATAAAATACAATGTTGACAGAAAGACAGACGAGATTATCATTAAACAAACTGATGTGGATAAAACACCATACTAAGTGGCCAAACACATTTTGTCCATGTGGAGGCAAATACCAATAAAACATTGATGCAGCGCACAAACAGTACTGTGTTTCCTTTTCAAACAGGGATCATGCTCACATAACTTTAAAAAAAAAAGTTAAGAAATTACTTCAATCTCCAAACTATTGGAAACTGCTTTGATTAAAAAGTGCCCAAGAATCCACAGTACGGTATGTCCCTGAATTATCCATCCACATATGAACAAAACGTATTCACTGCCTATCTTCCTATCCAGTTATTGCAGAGCAGACTTCCCCAAGCTGCTGCAATCCAAATGCAGTTGGTCTCCAACTCCCAATAGCTTCAGCCTAAGGCCTAGATTTATGGGAGTCTGAACAGTGTAACAAGTTGGGAGAGGCAAATGTAGAGTCAGGGGAATAGCTCTCCCCAAAAGGATCTCAGGGTGGGATCTGTTTTTATTATTATTCACTTGCCTGTCTGGTGGAACCCAAGGTGTGCCAAAGAACCCCCTCTGATTCTGAAGGGTAGTCATCACACGCAGTGGTCCGAACCGTTGGCCAAGAGCCCAGAATCTTATGTATTCATACTGATCCAGATTTACTGAGACCTGCAAAAAGGAAGGCATGAAAATACAATTGCTTTGGGGGGCAGGGGGTGTTGTGTTGCAACTACAGCTAAGGAGCATTCCATACAGACCGATAGTGCGAATGTTTTGAGGGCGTGTGTGCTATTTTTTATTTTAAACATTTGTACATAAATGTTACAATGAGGTGTACAAATTTAAGAAATAATAATAAATAAAGCCAACCTGCATATAAAATAAGGAACCAAATCTACAATGGTGGCAAAAAATAAATACATCAGTGCCAAGCATGTTAAGTAATCTGAGCAAATGGATCGGCACGGAGAGTACTTTTCAATGTAAAAATGAGACACAGGGGCTGAAGTCACAAGGCTTTCATGCAGCAGTGCATGAAGTCTACAGCCCTCCAGAAGTTGTTGGGAGCTGGAGTCCCAATGGGTTCACCTGCTCTAAAGGTGTGCCTTTAGCTTCACATTTTGGGGCGGGGGCTGTGCTGTTGATCTCTTCAACAATATTTTGTACATTTTAATATGAATTTCTCATGGTTCTTGTATGAATTCTATTGCTGCAAGCCCTAGGATAATAAACTGATGACAGGAAGGCTATTATTATTATTACAGTGGTACCTCGGGTTAAGTACTTAATTCGTTCCAGAGGTACGTTCTTAACCTGAAACTGTTCTTAACCTGAAGCACCACTTTAGCTAATGGGGCCTCCTCCTGCCGCCGCGCCGCCAGAGCACGATTTCTGTTCTCATCCTGAGGTAAAGTTCTTTACCGGAAGCACTATTTCTGGGTTAGCGGAGTCTATAACCTGAAGCGTATGTAACCTGAAGCATATGTAACCTGATGTATCACTGTATTACTAATAATAATATACGAAGATGCTCAGACACAGGGAAGCTGAAGGGCCTCTGGTGGAGCTGTGCCTGAACTTAATCTCCGCAGTGAGAAAACTCCCATAACATGTATGCTGGCTTTGTTAAGAGTCACATTGTGTTACTGTGAGGAAGAATGGCCCTATGCTGGGACAGGTCTCACCTGGACTTCATCTTGAGGATGGTGGACCACAAGGGCATAGGCCAGGGTTTCCTCTGACAAACTGTTGAAGTTGGCCTGGTCCAGCAATGGATCCATCCTGGCCAAAACTTCCTGTTCTTTTGCTAACCGCTCAGCATCAGTCAGAGAGAACTCCTGCAGTGTGTCCTGGTCGGGATTAATAGGAGCATAGAGAGCCTGGGAAGGGGAGAAATAAATAGCCTGTATTAATGCCATTAACAGTGTTATTATTATTTACTGCATTGATTGGTCATTTTACACAATAAAAAGCCTGAAAGCAACTTGTCAAGGTAAAATAGAATGCATAAAAAGGTAAAGGGACCCCTGACCATTAGTTCCAGTCATGACCGACTCTGGGGTTGCGGCGCTCATCTCGCTTTATTGGCCGAGGGAGCCGGCGTACAGCTTCCGGGTCATGTGGCCAGCATGACTAAGCCGCTTCTGGCGAACCAGAGCAGCGCACGGAAACGCCATTTACCTTCCCACCGGAACGGTACCTATTTATCTACTTGCACTTCGACGTGCTTTCGAACTGCTAGGTTGGCAGGAGCAGGGACTGAGCAACAGGAGCTCACCCCATCGCGGGGATTCAAACCACCAACCTTCTGATCAGCAAGTCCTAGGCTCTGTGGTTTAACCCACAGCGCCACCCACGTCCCATAAAATAGAATGCATAAATGCAACTTAATACCATAAGAAATACAAAACAATGGGCCCTATAAAATTCCTTTGACACTCATCCTACAATATAATAAGGACAAGTCCTACCCATCCCACTAAAAGATGACCACCACCTCAGCAGGCAACACAAAAAGGCCTTAGCCTGCCAGCTAAAGATTGACAAGGATGGTGCTAGGTACATCACCTTGAGGGAGCATTCAAGAAGCAGGGGGCCACCACTGAGAAGGCCTGATTCACACTCTATACCTACCTCAGGTGGAGCACAGCAAGAAGGGGTCTGTGATGAAAACCACAGGGTCTGAGCTGGTTCATATGGGGAGAGGCAGTCCTTGAGGAATTACAGAGCTGTGGAGTGCTTTAAAGATCAGTTCCTGTACCTCTGAGCCCGGAAACTAGTGAGTAAGCCAGTATCTAATCACAATGCCTCCACTAGCTTCCGGCACATGCTGTTCCCCAACCCCTTCTGTCTTTGGATGAGCAATTCATTCAGAAACAAGGCCAGTCCCCACAAGGAGCGTACTTTGTCATTACCTGTAATTGCTCTAGGATGGAGTGGTAACGGTGAAGAAGGGACGAGTCCACTTGAGAGACAAATGCCAGGAAAGTGGCGCGATCTGCTTGACTAGAAGAGTGGAACTCCTGAAAGAGGGAATAGACAAGGTTAGTCCAAATGTGGCTTAGAGGCAAATGACCTGTTTACGTAGGTTTGTTGTGATATGCTGAATTGCAGCCGTTTATTAAAAGGATGCCTTACTTTGTCCTGAGATATTGTTATAATTGGGGCAACGGGCTGACAGATTATTCCATGCTGCTACAGCAGTGTTATCCTTAAGCTTCCCTATCAATCTGAAACAACTTTTTAAAAACTTAGTCCCCAACTGGATTGATACGAATTAAAACAGTTTTGCGAATTTGGAGCCCTCGGGGCGTTTTTGACTACAATTCCCATGATAGGAGTCCTAGTCTAAAACATCTGGTGCGTACCAAATTGGTAGAGGCGCCAGGCAAAAACATGCCTTTTCAACCAGGCCTTTGGCTGTTAACAATCCATGGCCTTATAAAGCTTGTGTGTGTGCTTTAATGTTTTTTTTGGTAAAGTCGCTTTGAGTTCCCTGCAGCAAGAAGAGCTCCTAATAGATTTAATAAATAATAGGCAATAGTAAAGGTTGGATTAAGTTGTTGTTGTTTACAGGTTTGATCTACATTTAATTAAGAACATGTAACACACATACATGCACACTAATTACTAAATTCACACCCTGCATACATAAACAAGTTATTAGCTGCCACTGGAGAACTCCACACACACACACCCTGCCACCAATTCTAGGCCGATCCAAGCTTTTGTGGTGAACCAGGCTCCCAGAAAGCTCCTTTCAGCATTTGTGGCTTGTTTCATTTTTAGCTGGGGTGCTTGGCATCATTATGAGCAAGGCTTCTATGTTCCAAGCTTCAAGTAAGACAATGTACGTCAGCTTCCTATTACAAAGGGGACCACGGTCCATTGGCCGATCCTGTGCTTTGCACGTAGAAGAGATCAGGTCTACACAACAAAACAGGAACAGTATCAATATGCCGTACAAGGGCTATCAAATAGCGTGAAGTCGTTCCCGCCCCAAGAACATAACATACACTGAACACACATGCACTGTTTAGAGATGGAGGCAGCAGAAGTCAAGTACCCTCATGAGGAGATAGAATTACCTTCATTGCATGCACAAATAAAGAGGGTAGCAGATAGACCTCACTCAAAATCCCAATCACAACAGCCCTCCTAAATTCCTCACTACTTGTAGACAAGTTTCAGAACTCCAAAACCTCAACATGTAGACGGATGACCAAATTGACAACCAGAAACAAAACAGACAGTTCAGATCGAGATAACCCCAATACTGAACTTAAAAACCACATAGGACTCATTCATTAATCAGAGAGTAAATTTGTTCCAAGGTCAACATTAGTTCTCAGTACACGCCTGAAGCTGGAACATCTGGACGGGAACAATATATGGAAAGTGCCTTAGAAACGTGCGAGTGCCCTTCCCTAAAAGTCAAAGCACAGCTGAACTTATCTGAGTTTCCAGACCATGCAGTGGGTGTGTCGTCTCACCTCCGCTGGCCCATAAAAACAGGCAAACACCAAAAAATACGAAGTAGCGTAAGACCTCTTCAATCCTCGTAAGCGCATAATCACTGTGAATTTCCAAGTGCTAAAAAGAAATATATTAATACTTTTTTAAACCCCCAAGCAGCAGAGCAAAGGAAATTCTAACACCCCATCTTGCCCTAAACGCAACAATTCATTGCCTTTAAGCCATTCTCATTATATACAAATGTACAAACAACCAATGCAAGAACAGACTTCGCCCACCACATTACCTCAGCATACACAAAGAAAACACAGCAGCTCCCCCCCCCACAAGGCAGAGCATATAATAAAAGTGTTTTTGCAAACACGAGGACACCTTGAAAAACAACATTCCCCCAAGCCTAATACCAACTAGTTAGAATCTGAGGTCAGTACATGCCCCCCTTGTAAAAGGTTGAATGTTAAGTGATTTTACACCCTCCCACTGTGTCACCATCTTAGTTTCCATCCAACAGGATATCCTAGGAAGAACATCCACATCCAGGGAGATGCAGCAGTCGTAAGAAGCAAAACCCCGAGTTTCTGGCAGCATCGACAACTGCGCCCTGGGCACTGCTCCCATAAATGCCCCCGGAACGGCCAAGAATCCCCCTGCCTGTGCCTCCAAAGCTCACATGCTCAGTGTTCGGGGCACTCAGCCAGGAGGCATGACCACTAAAACCCAAGGTGACGAACAGAACAACCTAGAAGCTCCTAACCGTCACAGGATGGGTCCCCGTTCAGGAAGTCCCCTGCCCCAACTCCAGTTCCCTGGATCCTGCAGCACGGTCGCACAGAGGTTACCATCAGACCAGAGTGGAGGTGCACCAAGCCTGAACCTCTTCCTTCATGTGTTCAATGGTTTTGGAGTCTGGGGACAGAGAAAGAGAAAAGAAAGAGAGGTCAGGAACCTTCACAAGCTCAAACCCGTTCCAGGGCGATGCTTCGTTTCATTGCTTCACCCCCCATCCCAAAAACAAGCCAGGCAAATACTAGTCAGGGGGTGATAGTGCTGTGCAGCTGGAGGAGGAAACTGTGTGCCAGATGACCTCCTTGCTTTTCCTGGCACGCAGAACAAGAGGATCCAGTTAGCTCCAGAGTGTTGATGTGCTGCGGTACATACGCATGTGCACCACTCAAGGAGGATATCTCCGCCGCTGCCAAAGACCAACGAGAAGAAAGCAGGGGTGTCCACAGAAGTAAGCTGCTAAGAACAGCCTCCTGGATTTGGCCAAGGCCCATCAAGCCAGTATACCTGTCTCAAAGCGCCACGCAAGTCCTGTCAGAATCCTACAAGCAGGACTGAGTAAAGGCCCCTTGCCCCCCTTGCGTTCCGCAACTGTATCAGCATAGCCACAAACAGGTAGTAGCCACTGCTATCCCTATCCATAAATTTTGTCTAATCGTCTTTAAAGCCATTCAAGTTGGTGCAGACCCATGATCACTGCCTCCATATGAGCGCGTCCTAGGGGAGCGGTGAAGTCAGGGAATCGCTTCCCTTAAGTGGATCAAGTTGGGATTTCAGGCCTCTGTTTACAGCCACAGTAGCGCAGTCTTTTGAGCAGGCGACACGTAGCGATCCCTAGCAAAGTGTCCATCAATAGGAGGGACAGGGCCGTGAGAGGAAGAAGGAGGACTGTAGATTTGAAAGTACTCATATGGGAGATTGTGCATTTAGAGGTGTGTATTACAGTTTGTCCGAAGTAAGGTATCTTAATGCATCTTCAATGGTAATCCCCCAACTCCCCACACAAGGAATAAATGGTAGATACTCTATTGAGAAATGACAGGGTCGACATAGGCGCCGAACTCCATGGGGCTGAGGGGGCCCGACCCCCTCAAACAATCAGTAATTGGGGGCTCTGCCCCCCCAATAATCTCCGGCGCCCCCAGCAGGCGCCATCGCCCCCCCTCCCCCAGCCCAAAATGCACAGGAGGGAGGCTGCATCCCTGCCCTCCCTCCCGAGCAAAAGCTCACCCAATTTCCTTGGAGCTGATAATAGCGCAGCACGCTCTCCCCTATTCGCTCACGAGGAGGCGCCGCACTTTATTTGCATATCAGAGCTTATTTATTATTCATACTTTCGGGCCCCCCAAATTTTTATAAGTCCGCGTCCCTGGGTGCGTAGACCACGTGGGCCCTTTTGTCCAGAAAAACCAAGACAATTGTTCCAATCTTCTACTGACAGCAAGCTCTCGGAATCCAAGAGGAGACGTTCTCATAACAGTCAAATTCATAGAAGTAATAATTATTGGTCCACTGCTTGTGACCCATAGATGGAATGCTCCCTCAAAACAGTGCAGAAACCTCCAGAATCTTGCATGGACTACAGACCCTCCGCTATTTATTTTATTCTTAATCCCTGCCATTGACCATCTGAGGTTGACTAACCACCCAACTACCCAATCAGGCCCCAACTCCACATAGTCCCCTCCTTCTTAAGGCTATGTTAACAAAGGTCACATGGCTGCCAAATCTGTTTAAGACAGCCAGGCAAAACCCACGCTTATAAAAAAAAAAAAAACTCCCCCCCCAGACAAAATGCGGGCACATCATGCCCATACCTCCAAAGCCCGAAGCCAAAAGGCAGCGAGAAAGCACAGGAGGTGGTGCCGAATCTTACAGGCAGAAAGCACCCACCACCACGTTGACGAAGAACGCCAAGCCGCTCCACTATCAGCATGCGTTGAGGAGGGCCCTGTAGAAGAGGAGGCGGCACCTTGATACGCGCGGCCCAGCAACTGCTCCAGCCTTCCAGCCGGAATGTCCATTAAACATTAACTAGGGTGAGCTTCTAAATCCGGGCAGCCACACCACCCGTTTGACCAGTACTGTTGGTTGGGAGAAAAGGAACCAAAATAAAAAAACCCAAGGAAGGAAAGCATTTGCATTTATTTAGGACAAATGAATAAAATTTTCTGTACCACATATCAAAACCTATATCCAAGCGCAACATAAAAGATAATTCAATAAAAAATAAGCAGCATAACTAACGGTGACTTCCCCCCGAATGTTACAAGCGCTGAGAGATGTTAGGAATACCCCAACCCAACCCCCCCCCGAGGTACAGTTCAGAATCCTTTAAAAACTTTCCCTCTCCAGGAACTCTGGAATTGTATCTGCGGGGAGTCCTAACAACTCTTGGCACCCTTAACAACGACAGTCACAGGACCTGAGAGAAAGCCCTGACTGTTTAATAAGTGATAAGTAAGGAAAGGAGACCCCTGACCATTAGTCCAGTCGTGACCGACTCTGGGTTGCGTGCCATCTCGCTTTATATGCCGAGGGCCGGCATTTGTCCGCAGAACAGCTTCCGGTTTATTGTGGCCAGCATGACTAAGCTGCTTCTGGTGAACCAGAGCAGCACACGGAAACGCCGTTTACCTTCCCGCTGAGAGCGGTACTATTTATCTACTTCACTTTGTGCTTTCGAACTGCTAGGTTGCAGGACGTTTAAAAGTATATACTGCTTAAATGTACAGTGCAGATGGTAAACTGAGTACAATGTATAAGCACTCATCAAACCCTGCAATTTTACTCAGTACGTATATTGTTGTACATATACAGT